GTCAGAGGCCACAGGTCGAATCTCTGTTCCTAGCCAGGGAGGCCTGTTATACTCCCAGCACTTTATATAAATGTAGCAGCCCTGCAGGTTGGGCATTGTAATCTCATTTGCAGGCATGAGGAAGCTGAGACCCAGAGGCTTACAGAATGTTCTAGGTCACAGAGCAAAGAAGTGACAGAACTGAAGTCAAGTCAGATCAGCGGGCAAGGCTTCAAGAGAAAACCTACCATGCTCTGCCTTCAAGCTTTCTCCCAGGATTTTAGTGGGCAGGGTACTCGGCCTCCTGTAATTCCAGCAAAGCCTCTGGGGCTGGTTGAGTGCGGCCTGATACCACTCTGCATTTCCTGGCGCATGTGGCCTTTCTTCCACTCAACACTGATGGTACCAGAAATCAATTGAAGCTGTTCCGCGGGAAGGACGTGCTTTGATGAGTCTTGCATGTCCCTCATTTTTTCTGCTGCTTTTATTTTTCTCTCTCCTTCAGAGACAATCTGGCAGATCTCAGAGTGTTTTTCTCCTGTCAGCTGATCTCACATCACTTCAGTGGCTCTGAAATTACTGAAAAAGCTCCTGCACAAGCAGGCAGTTCTTGTTTTGCTCCTCCCCACCCCCTTTCCCAGGCAAGTAGGCAGGGCTTAAGGGGCAGGTTAGGCATAATGTTTTTTGTTGTTGTTTTGTCATATTCTTTATTGAAATATTTTGGCCAGTGGTTTGGAAAGATCCAGAAGCTGCCTGATCATCATGTCAGCATCATTTTAAATGACACTGACTGGCTCCTGGGTCAAGTGTGAATGAATTTACCGTGTTTGGGGGGATGATTGACCGGGATGGGTAGGCTTGGAGAGTCAGGGAGCAGGCAAACCCCCTTTTTCCTGCTTGGAAATAACTTGCAAAGGGAACAGCGGCTGGCAGCATTATAGAACAGAAGGCTGCCGCTGAAGATACAGATCCCAGAGAAGCGAGGCAGGTTGTTCAGAGAGCATGTCTGGGCTGTCCATCACTGTCATAGGTGGCTTTTAAAGATGAGAAGGCCGGGCACTGGAGCTCTCCAGTTAAGAGCCCAGTTACCGGCAACCGCCCTTCCCTCCTCTCCCCAGCCAGGCATGAGTGCTGGCCCTGCTCCATTGTATTCCCTTTGTTCCCGTCCCTGGCTCTTGTCTGTCTTTACACAGTGTAGAAACAGACCCCTGACATCCCCAGGGGCTTGTTGGCCTTCCTGACAGGAATTCAGAGTATTTTTCTTCTGGTCTGACCCAGTTTCCTGACAAAGAGCATGTGATTTGTCTTACTCCCGGCACTCCTGCCAGGGACAGCTGTGTGCTTAGTCCCCAGCTCTTGCATGCTGTTGACCTATATCATGAGTGTCTCACAGTGGAGTTCATCCCTTTGGCCATGTGACTCCCAGGAGCTGAAATGGATGTGGTGTAATGGAGCCGCTAGCAATGGAATGTTCTGTGGGGCACGCTTTTGGAAATTATTTTTAAAATAGCTCACTTTATTAACAGTTTATACCAGGAACAATTCATGGTGCTTTTCATAGATAATCTATTTGTCCCACCATCTCTCTGAGGAATTATTATTTCAATTTTACAAATTGGGAAACTAAGGCTCAGAAAGATACAGTCAATTGTCCAGGGTCACTGAGCTAATTCGTGGCAAAGTCTGGATTGGAACCGAGGTCTGACCTCCCAGCCTGAATTGCTGTATGATTTAGGTCAATTTGTTCAGGCCATGGCAACGTTTCAAGCAGTATGTTTCTTTAAAATGTTTAGGAAGTCAGTGAATCTGAAACTGGCAGACCAACTCCAGAAAACGAGAAAGAATCTTTGATCTTTGCCCTTTCACTGACTCATCCAGTGGCGCTGATGCTCTCTGGACCATCTGCCGCAACACTTTACAGTTCCGTTGGGCTGGGAGCAAGTTCATTCTCTTAGTTCATCCAGGTTACCAATTGTATCGGCAGGGAGCCCTCAGACCTGGGGCTGTAACCCTTGCAAACACGACAGGACAGGGAGCAACTGCTGAATAAGGGTGGCGTTGGCTGGGGTTTGTGGTTATTTGGCTTTATCTGTAGCTGAGGCCCTGATGATTTCATTCATGTCTACTCATGCGCTACTTCAGATGCATTTAACAAATACCAAGGGCAGGGTGCTGGGGCATAGCAATGGGTGTGGCAGAAACAGCGCCATACCCCAAAGGCTTACTCTCATTTTGGGAAAGGGGACTCCAAACAATGACCATACCATGCGATAGGTATGGATGGGCATAGGGTAAGCAAAGGTAACTGTAAATGGGGGCCAGGCTTAGGCCCAGGACAGGAAAGGACTCCCAGAAGGGCCCTTTCGGCTGAGACATGAGAATGTGTCAGTTAGTCTGATGACGAGGTAGGGAGGGGGGTTGTGGATAACTTTCCAGATGGGGAGGGAATGGCAACCACTGAGAAGTAGAAGTGAGAGAGAGCATGGGGTATAGGAGGAACTGAGAGATGCTCTGCATTCTTGGAGCTGAGGGGTTTTGGGGGGTTATGGGAAAGAGGGTAAAGATTAGTCCAGAGTAGGCTAGAGGGGAGGGGCTCAGGTCCTCCACAAAGGATTGTGGATCCATCAACGTATGGCCACTGAAGCCTGCTTCGTAGCAGACTTGACTAAATTTCACCCTCCTTGATTGGATATTATTGGGCTTTCTCCATTCTGCATGGAGCCCCTACTCCCCTAGACCCCAGCGCCAGAGCTGGCTGAGTGCTGAAGCTTCTGAAACCCAAACAGGTGATGCCTTGCCGTCCAAGAATGCACTTCCCTTTTACTGAGCGCTTTCTGCTAAGCACGTCATCATTTCATTTAATTCTTGCTTAATTAGCAGGTATAATATTATTTATCTTTTATAAATGAGGGAATTAAAGCTCAGAGAGTGAACTGAGCTATCCAAAGTCACATGCCAGTCAGTGGTGGAGCCTGGTTTGCCAGCTCCAAAGGCCCCTGTCTTCTGACCCTCCCTAGTGGAGGAGACTGATGTTGTCAATAGGTAAGTGCATGCTGGAGCGATCAGCAATGAGAACGAAGAGCATGGTGGCAGGAGAACTACTTCCCTACATCCTACTTCATGGAGGAGGCGGTCTTCCTGGAGAGGCAGAGTTCAGATAGACATGACCAAGCCACACGCTTTTGCAGAAGCCCTTTCAATATCCTATCAGTATTTAGTAAACCTGCGGCATCCCTTGGGGCTGTTGTTCCCATGCCCCCAAAATGGTTTTTTTGGAAAATGGGCATACTAACTAGGGGTCTTGCATGTATTGCTCACTCTTGCCTAGTACAATGCCTGGCACTTAGCAGGCACCTCGTGTTGATCTGTTAATAAATAAATGAATGCACTTCATTTTTAGTAGCCTACTGCCTGGATCCTCACTCGCCTGGTGAATGGGGGTGCCTGGGTGGTATCCACAGCTCAGGTTCTCAATCACTGCTGGCTGTACCCAAGCACTGTGCCTCTGTGGCTGGCCGAGCATGCAGCCAGCTGACTCCTGTGGTCTGAGAGTCCCCCAGCAATTTGGCAATATCTGTTGAAATTAAAAATGCATGCATATTCTGATTCAGCAAGTCTGTTGGTAGAAACGCAGGCCGTGGCATGTATGCAAGACACGGCTATGAGCATCTCAGCAAGGCCTGTCCGCAAGAGTGGGAACCACCTGCATGTCCACTGAGAGAGGGATGAGTAAAATACAGACCCTTTCTACTTCCATATATGGAAGTTTGTGTGCCCCTTAATGGGAAATGGGGCAGAGTGGAGTGTTCTGGCAGATGAACGCGAAGGTACTTTGCTGAATGAAAAAGCAGGGTGTCCAACAGAGCAGAAAAGGCTTCCTTTTGAATAAACACACACACCCACCCCTATCTGTACATACCTACTCTACAGAAAAACATGCAAGGCTACTGCTTCCCGCAGGGGAAGGGCCCTTACTTTTCATCGTAGAGCCCTTTTTTTTTTTTTTTTTTGGACAGGTCTCACTTTGTTGCCCAGGCTAGAGTGAGTGCCGTGGCGTCAGCCTAGCTCACAGCAACCTCAAACTCCTGGCGATCCTCCTGCCTCAGCCTCCTGAGTAGCTGGGACTACAGGCATGTGCCACCATGCCCGGCTAAATTTTTCATATATATTAGTTGGCCAATTAATTTTTCTTTTAGTTAGAGACGGGGTCTCGCTCTTGCTCAGGCTGATTTTGAACTCCTGACCTTGAGCAATCCGCTGCCTGGGCCTCCCAGAGTGCTAGGATTACAGGCGTGAGCCACCGCGCCCGCCCGTCCCGGAACATGTAGTGAGCCGCTGTGTGTCTGGCAGTTGTGAACACCAGTGAGCATATTACGTGTCTAGTTAGTTGTGAACACTTCACACAGATTATCTCATTAAATCTTCATGCAACCCCATGAAATAGGTATAATTATCTGCTTTTTACAGAAAACGAAGGCACAGAGAGGTAATAATTTACCAAGATGATATAAGAGGTGGAGAGGCCTGGATGAGAGCCCAGAAGTCTGATCCCCAAACCGACGCTCTTACTAATGCGGCGTGCACACAGTTGTTCATTGAAAACAAGTCCTGAGAAACTTCTGATCCCAAATATTGCCCCATGCAGCGATCGCGTGACCGTATGTCAGAGGCGGACTGGCCTCACAGGCAAGCTGCTGCTTCACCTGGCCAGGGCACCGCGCCGGCGGGCGGCCCCAGACTCCACGTCCACGCACGTGGTCGGCGGACACCGAGGCTCCTGCCGGCGTCCCGGGGCGCCCGGCTGACGCAACGCCGCCTGCAGCTCGGCTCCGCGCGCCCTGGAGGAGCGGTCCTCTTGGCCCCGAGGCGAGCCGGCGCGCGGCTCCCTGGGCGGGTGCGGCGGGGGGCCGGGGCGCCCGGAGCGGCGCGGAGGCGGCGCGGGGCGGCGGCGGCGCCAGGCTGCGGCGGAGGGCGCGCGGAGCCCCGACTTCCCGCGTCCCCGGGCGGCGTTGGCGCGTGGCGCGGCGGCGGGCGGTGAGTCGCGGCCCGGGCGCGCGCCGTGTGCCCGCGATCCCAGGTGGTGGCGGCTCGGCCGCCCGGCCGCCTCCGCGTCGGCCCGCATTTGGGCCCACTGCCCGGGGTGGGCGCCGCGGGCCCCTCCGTGCGCCCGGGACCCCCCAGCCCCCGCGTGTCGGGCGTGGGAGCCGCTCTCAGGCGCCTCTTGGGGCCCGCGGCCGGGGCAGGGCCGGTGATTGCTGGGGGGAGGGAGACCGCCCCCACCCCCACCCCGGCTGCAGACCTGGACGGGACCTGAGGGCAGAGAGTGGGGCAGGACAGCTGCCTAAGGCTAAGACCCTGTATGGTGGGACTTGCCGGGCCTGTAGGAGCCGGCTTTCAGTTCTGGCTCCCTTCCAGGACTGGCTTCTTGACCTTGGATAGTTCACTTTCTTTCCTGGGTCTTACTGTCCTCGTCTGTAAAATAGAGAGAGCTTGGGCTCATTGTCGCTCAAGGCTTGTCCACCCAAACGTCTATAACAGGCACTCTCATGGTCTCCTGTTGGGTTTCCAGTTTAACAAAGAAAAACAAAACCTGATTTAGGGAACCAGCAGTCTCTCTCTCTCTCTCTCTCTCTCTCTCTCTCTCTCTCTCTCTCTCTCTCTCTCTGATGAATCTCAGTGATGCTCGCAGTTAGTTCCTGGGAGGCTGCAGAGATGGAGACCTTTGCTCCACAGGACTAGGGGTACTTCCCTTTCCACTAGCTGCGAAAGGGGAGGTGAACTTGTGCAAGAGGGTAACTGGAAGGTCTGGTTAAAATGCAGAATCAGCAAAGGGAACTCCAGGCAGCCCATGACCAGTTAGTTGCAGGGTCCTCCACGCTGTGCTCGCTCTGCTCTGCCTCCACCCTGGTGTCTCTCTCGCTCTCTGTTGTTGCCCTAGAGCTGGTACAGGGCTGAGCTGGATGAGGGGGTGGGATAGGGGGGTGTCAGGACCTTGGGGTCTTGCCAACCTCCTGCCTTCTGCAGCCTCAGGGTGGATGAGGAGCTATGCGGTGAGCCTACAGGCTGGGGGTGTGCAGCGCCAGCTGCCCTGCTGGGCCCATCCTGGCCTCTGGTCTGCACCCTTTCTTGGCACTGGCTTCACTCACCTCCACTTTTGCCAATCTGAGGGGCCTCCTTCCTCCAGGAAGCCTCCTGAAGAACCCTTCCCCCACCCCTAGGTGCTCCCTCTTACTGCCTTGTTTTGTAATTTTCTGTTCTATATTTCTCTTTCTAAGAGTTTCTTCCCCACCAGATGGTGATCTCCAGGAGGGAGGGCTGAGCAGGGACTTTAGGTCTTATTTCTGGTTTCATAGTCAAGAAAGCACAGGGCCAGGCCCTGGAAGGTTCTTAGGGAACATCTGCGGATTAAAAATAATGACAGCTATGTTCCTTCAGTGATTCCTGTTTGCCCAGTGCTGTTCTGAGTGATTTACATGCGTGAGGTCTTTAAACCTCACAACAACCTGAAGTGACCATCATTATCCCCACGTATGTGTAAGGAAACTGAGGCAGAGCGCGCTCACTTGCTCAAGGCCACACAGGTGGGAAGTGGCAGGACCAGGCAGGCAACTTCTAGTCCGTACAGGAAACAGCCTCCAGGTGAATGAATGAAGTCTGCCAATTAGAACTTTGTGGGAGGCTGATGGGGCCAATCAGGGTCCTGTGATTTCCTTGCAAAGACAAAGCCTCATGTTGAGATTTAGCAATTAAATGGAGTGCAGTCTGCAGGGATACCTGTGCAGCTGCAGCTTGTGCGTGGTCCTTCCTGGCTTCTGGGTTCTCCAGGCCTTTTCGAGACCCCACTACTGTCTCTGGGTTGCAGACTCCTAGCTACAGCATCCCTGGATTCTTTGTCTGGAATGTGGACCTGAGGTCCCTGGATTCCTTGTCTGGAATGTGGACCTAAGGACTACATCTGCCTCTTAGGCCTAGGAGCTGATCTGAGGAAGTAGGGAAGGGCTTCAGTGATCATCAAGTGCAGGGCATACACGTTTGTGGCTGTATTTGTTGCTTTCATGCCTCTTGGGAGCACAAGGTAGGAGGAAGGAAGTGAGGCGCGGTAAGATTGACTGGCAAATCTCAGTGTATTTAGGAGGGCCCTCCATGGGCCAGTCCTTGGCCTAGGTAGGGAGGAGAGGGTCCTGCTCTCCCCAGTGTAGCATCTCAGGGCCACTGGAATTTGTTGCTAGATCTTGCCTGGGGAATGCAGTCTTCTTTGTCTGATATTCTTTCTCTCTTTTTTTAAAGGTGGTTTCAGACGCAAGCTCAGAGACAGCCAGGCCAGAGTCCAGAGGTGCAAGGGCATGGAAATCATGGGCTTGGACCTTGGAGCCAGATGGCCTGGGTTCATCTCCTGGCTCCACAGCTGATAGGCGCCCAGCCTTGGGTAGGTCACTTCATATCTTTAACCCTCCGTTTTCTCTCCTGAGCGACAGGAAAAACATACCGGGGAAAGGAGCTTGTATGATGAGCAGAGTACGGAAGTCACGCTTGCCTCTCCTTCTGTTACAGCCCCGAGCAGCTGTACCAGATGGGCTGCTCACCCCATTTCAGAGGTAGAACAGCAAGGTTTGGGTTGTTATGTACCTTGATTGGCTGAGTGAAGATTCAAAACCAGGCATTCCGCCTCTAAAGTCTTCAGTCTTTCCTACTATTTTGCTGCTTGCTGGCCTTAGAGCCTGGTACAGAGTGGGAGTGTGATAATTGTTAAAGGCTCATCTTTTATATATTCTTGATTGGGAGTGGGCAGTGACCTTCTGGAGCTTAAAGTCAGCCAGCTGCAGGTGCACATAACCTGCACCCCACAATGAGCCCCCTACTTAGGGAGGCACCTTCGCCCCATTTGGTCCAAAGCTCTACTGTTGCCATTTTGAAATTCTTCCTTATTTTTGAATAAGAGGCCCCATGTTTTCATTTTGTGCTGGATCTCACAAATTCTGCAGCTGGTCTTCAGGGAAGCAGAAGGTGGTGAGGGCTTGGGGATCAAGTGGCCCTTCAGGGGGCGTGATCAGCGGCAGTCAGCCCTCTGGCCAGCTTGGAATGAAGCAGATGTGTCCAGTGTGCCAACTGGACATTTCATGTCTTCAACACTGAGAGCCAGGGCGGCAAAAGATGATTCTAGTGGACTTTTCACCAAGATGGTTGGCAGGGCTGTTGGGTCATCCCAGGGGACTTAGGTATGGTTTTCCTCGGTGAGGGGTGATTCTCAAGCCCCCACACAGGCATAAGTCAACAGAAGTCAAGTGTGCATGTTGCAGCCAGAGTGGGTGGCGCTGGGGACTCAGTTTTTCATCCAGGAAACACTCATGAAGGGCATCACTACTTTTGCTGATGAAAGTGACTAAGGGTGAAGCCTACTGTGTCTCTCAATGACCCAGCTCTGGAAGCTTTGGAAGCGTTTCTAAGATCTTCCAGAACTAAATGCCAGGAAGATGCATGCATTGTTCCTCCCATCATATCACCGTTTTTTTTTTTTTTTTCCTCCTTGTTAATAACTTGTTAATAACAGCCAGCGTTGCCATTTTAGCTTTGGCCACCTGGAAGCTCAAAATCAAATTCTTGGCTCAGGCATGGGAACTGTGTCAAACCTCAAAGAGTAAAACAAGAGCTAATATTTATGGAGTGTGTCCATTGTTCTAGATGCTGCTGTATGTCCTCTAAATGTGTCATCCTTCACTTCTTTGCTGCACCCTCTGGGGGAGGAGATTTGAAGAGGTGATGCTTACCCAAGTTTGTATAACTAGGGGGTGTTAGAGCTGGCATCTCAGCTTGTTAGCTGAGTCTGGAGTCCATATTCTTGAAAACAAACCCCCGCCCCCTCTGCTGGGGAACTTGATTGCCTAAGTATCTGGGTATTTCTGTTCTTTGTGGTTGCCACTTTTTTTTTTTATGTGTGTGTGATTTATATTTTCTGCCACCTGGTTTTTTGAATTTGTATTTTGCAGTGTCTTATGGGAAGCTATCTGAGATCCTTTGTGTCAACAAGGCTCCCTGTAGTGACTCTTTCTCTCGGTGAGTGGCAGCTGGGGCATCCTAAGTAAGGAACTGGAAATCCCAGGTGCCTGGGAGTGGGACCTGGTCAGCCCTTGAGTTCCCCATGGGCCCGTGGCCGCTGCTGAGCTGGAGAAGACCCAAGACCAGAAAGGAAGTTCTCTGTCTAGGCCTTGGGAGAGGTTGTAGTTTCTCCTCCTTCCATGAGTTTTTCTCAGCATGGTCAGAAATACCAAAGTCAGCAAAAAGGCTCCCTGTGGCTCTTCCTGGCCTTTGGCGACTTTGGCCTTGGAGAGAGCCGTGGGAAGCCCAGCCCGCCCAGGCCCAGACCTGAAGTTCTTTTTTGTGCTGTTTTCTGAAGGCAAGTGAAGCTGAGGCGGCCGCTGCAGAATGAACCACAGCCCTGAGAAGGGGAAGTAGAAGCTCAGCTCACTGTCTGCCATGGCCTGTGAACCGCAGGTGCACCCAGGGGTGGCTGGCCCCTTGCCCACCTCCTCCTCCGGCTGGGGCACCCTGCCTGCAGCGAGCCCGAGCCCTCCTGGCTGGGGGCAAGGTAAGGTCACGACCCCTCGTTCCTCTAGTCCCTCTCCTCCCCCTGCTGAGCTGGACTCATGTAGCTTGATGCTGGGGAGGGGAGGGCACAGAAGTTCCTTTAGATAAGGATGAGTGTCCTTGGGATCCATCTTTAGGCTACTTCTGTCATTTCTACCCGGTTCTCTCTATCACCACCTCCTTCGATCAAGCCACCGTCACTCTCTGCTTGGACCCCTGTTCTAGCTTTCTCTTCCATTCATTCTCTGCATGGCAGCCAGAATTCTTTTTAAAATGCATATCCAGCTACTGTCACTTTCTGCTTTAGTGTTTCCCACTGGGCTTAGCGTGGAGATCCATCATTCACCAGCTTGCAAGTCCTGCGTTAATGTTCTTTGCCATGCTCTTCTGCCTCAGGACCTTTGCATGTGCTGTTCCTTCTGCCTGTTCTGTTTTTTTCCCTGTCTCCTTTCTCCTGCTTAATTTCCATTCATCCTTCAGAGCTCAGTTCCAATATCCCTTCTTGAAGAATCCTCCTGAGGCTCTGCCTGAGTCAGGATACTCTGTTACATTCCTCTTTCTTCCTACAGCACTTATCACAGTCTATAAATAATTATTTAGGTAATAAAGTGTTGAAATCCAGCTTCCCACTAGATTGCAAGCTCCATGAGGGCAGAGGCCTTGTGTTTTCTTGTTCATCCCTGTATCTGCAGTACCTAGCACAGGACTTGGCCCATAGTAGATGCTCACGGGGAAACGTTCTCTGAATTGTGTAGGTCCACAGGAATGTGGCCTGGTTACTTAGAGGATTTGAAACTTGGCTGCTTAAAAGCAAAAGTTCCTTTTATTACTACTATTATTAGGAAACATATATATATGTATACACATAACACACATATACACAATAGTAGAATAGAGTGGAATGAAATAATTTTGCTTTCAGAACTTTGAGGACATTGCTCCACTGATTTTTGGCAGGCCAGTTCTTGTTCTTTTGTAGAAAACTCCTCCCCCTGTTCTCCCCAGGAACCCCCCACCCCCCTTACACTCTTTTATTTGGTAGGTTTACTTGGCCTAGGTGTAAAAACAAGTATTTCCAAGTGTAGGACTTGCTTTTCTCACTTTAAGGAGCAGATGAGAGCTAGTATTGCCAAGAATGCAGGAACTCTTGGTTTGATGGGCAAACAAAGACATCCTGAAAGGTCTGTTTGCTGGGGCAAACACTTAACGTGCAAAGAGCCAGGCTGGGGGAACGGTTCGAATTCCCCATGCCTGGAGTCCAGTGTGGGGTGTTGGTTCTTGCTGTGACGTGGAGAGCTGGTCTGGACCCTGTCCGCATGACTGCCTGCATTTCGTGCTCTCCCATCTTGCGTCTCTTTCTCCCTTTCATTTGCCCTGTGGTTATAATGTTGGACAAGTTCCTTCTCTTTTCAAAGGCTCAGTTTCCTTTTCCCTGTTAATGGTCCCCCACTTAGGGCTCTGGAAGATTAAATGAAATCACGACCAAAGCCCAGGCTCAGTGCCCGGCACAGAGTAAGGGCTCCATAGCCGGAGCCTTTCTTACCGTCTGCCTTTATTTCCTTTTTGTCTAGTTTTCCTCATTTGCTTATTTTTAAATTGAATTTTATAATTTTATCTTTTTATGTTTTATTTCTGTGAAGCTACCTTAAATCCTTTCTGAAGGTATGGGAGGGCAGAAACAAATACGAATAAATCCCTGATGCTTGATTCTAACTTTCGAGTTCTGACATGCTTGCGTTGAAATTATGACAGCAATCGAGACCAGTTATTCTGCACCCATTTTGTGCCGAGCACTTTATTTTCATCGTCTTAATTAGCTGGAAAGTACTCTGCAGCCATGTGATCATTCTCTAAGGGAGGAAGCAGGCCCAGGGGTTTAGGTTGCTTCCACGTGTTTACCCTGTTAGTGAGAGGCTGAGCTACAGCGTGAATCCCAAAGCTATCTAGCTGGCGCTTTCTGTGCCTCACTGCCCTGTCTTCAAATCCCACCTCTTCCAAAAAAAAGGAGAAAAAAAAAAAAAAAAAAAATAAACAGGGAGAGAGAGAGAGAGAGAGAGAGAGAGAGAGAGAGAGAAGAGAGCGAGCGAGTGAGCAAAATAAAATTCCTTTTGGCAGGACATAGAATTCTATGGAACCCTTGAAATCAGAGATGGTACCCCAGGGTATGAAAAAGGAACCTTATCAGGGCTGGGGACCAGAGTCCTATTGTCTTTATTCGTTTATATATCAAAGATGTATTTAGTGCCTACTGTATGCTAGGCGTTGAGCCCAACTTAGGGGATTCAGTGACAAACAGTCCAGTGTGGGAGTATATAGTCTGGTGGGGAGGATAGATTTTATTCAAGTAATTGCATACATATGTTTTCATCTTTTTTTTTTTTTAATTTCAGAATTTTATGGGGGCACAAACATTTTGGTTACATAATTTGCTGTTGTACAGTTTGAATCGAAGTTAGAAGTGCGCCCTTTACCCAGTTAGTGTGCATTGTACCTGTTAGGTGTGAATTTACCCATTCCCTCTTTCCCTCTCCCACTTGCTTGACTTCCGTTGAGTTTTACTTCCCTATGTGCGCATACCTGTTGATAGAGTAGTTCTAATTTAGTATCAAGTACATGTGGTGTTTGCTTTGCATTCTTGTGATACTTCACTAGGAAGAATGGCCTCCAGTTCCATCCAGGTTGTATATTTTTCTTTAATAAGTGTAAGGTAGAAGGGCAGGTAGTCATGGGTAGGTGCAGGAGAAGAATTTGATCCATTAAGTGTTTGAAATGTCAGGGAGTGCTGCCTGGGAAAACTGATTGAACTGGGGTACAAAAGATGCATAGGCTGTAACTGAGTGAAGCTGGTGGAAGCAGTTTAGGGAGAGGGAACGGCATATGCAAAGGCCCTGGGGTGGGAAGAACACTATGTGTTCAAAGAGCAAAGGGGGCTGGTGTGGAAAGACACAGAACTAGTGTCTCAGGGCAAGTCTGGCAGGAGGCTAGTTCTCCTAAGGGCTGGAAGAGCATTGTAAGAAGGATGGTTTTTGACCACAAAGCACCAAGAAGGTGTTGAAAGTTTTACTTGGGCCACTGGTGTCGTCTGACTTGTGCTGTGGCCACTGCGCAGAGAATGCATTGTAGGAGAAAGAGTCGGTTTGGAGAAGCCGGTTAGTTAGGAGGCTACTGCAGAGGGTAAAGGGAGAGGTGCATGGAATGGATAGAGGTTTTGTGGACCCAGTTGGCAGGACTCAGTAGTGGATTGGGTACGGGGGGAGAGAGAATGTTTGGATGGGCCAGGGTTCCCAGGAAGGTAGAGTTAGTCATTTGGCCTTGAAGACTCCAGTATTGCTCAGAGCTAGGCTGGGGTGACAGGACCTTTGGGCCGGCAGAGAGCATAATTATGGTTTAATCTTTCAGCCGCATCAGCTAAGCAGCAGCCACAGAGAACGTGGCACAATGGCCAGGTGTCAGCCGTGCGTGGCTGGACCGGGACCCTAGAGTCTCAGGGCTGGAATCGCCCCTACCCGAGCCCCCACCTCCGGTTGCTGACCTCTGGCTTGTACTGTGGTGCAAGGAGATCTTAGTCCTTTTGACCAGAGGTTCTTGGAACTGAAGGCAAGTAGGTTTGGCTTCATGCTGCTGCCATTTGTCCCTGGACTTGGGGAAATTTCAGTCCAGACCTTTTCCACTGGTCTCATGGTCTGGCTCCATCCCACCGCTCTAGGGCAGGAGTTCTGGTTGCTGTTGTGATCGGTGGGTTGATGTGTGCTTTTTGCAGGAATAAAGACTGAATTTATGCTTTTGAAATGCTGAGTGAGTTGCAGCTATGCTTAGGGAGATTATCAGTAAGTGCATTAGTTTTCCATTGCAGCTGCAACAAATGACAAATAACATAGAGGCTTGAAAACCACAGATTTATTATCTCACAGTTCTGAGGGTTAGAAGTCTGGCACTGGTCTCCCTGAGCTAAAATCCAGGTGTTGGCAGGACTCTGTTCCTTTCTGGAGTCTCTGGGGAGGATCCATTTCCTTTCCTTTTCCAGCTCCTTGAGGCAGCCCGCATGCCGTGGCTCGTGGCCCCTTCCTCCGGGGTCAAAGCGAGCAATGTTACTGATCTCCGTGCCTTTCTTCCTTCCTTGCTGTGTCTTTCTTCCGCTTCCTCTACTTCTGTTCTCTCCTCTACATGTAAGAATCCTGCGATCACACGTGGCCCACCCAGACATCTGCACCCAGATGCAGGGTCATCTCTCTATGTAAGGCCATCTGATTAGCAACCTTAATTCCATCTGCTACCTTAATTCCCATTTGCCTTGGAAGGCAGCCTCTTCACAGGTTCTGGAGTGGATTAGTGTGTGGATCTCTTTGCAGGGGTGTTATTGTGCTGCCTGCCATAACCAGTTATCTCTTACTCGGCCTCTCTGAGCCTACTGGGGATTTAAGTTATTTAGTTGAGCTTTCTTTGCAGTGCTCAAATGTCTAGTGCATCATCCCCTTAAGGAAGCTAGTTGATCAGTCTCTGTTTAAATATCCCTTGAGATGAGGAACTCACTGTCGCCCATTCTCGGCAGAGACAGCTTTCTCTCTTGGGAAGTTCTTCCTTACGTGGCCTCAGATTGTGACCCAGGAGCCTCCTCGCTCTGGCCTCGGTTCTGCCTCCTGGGGCCTTCCTGGTCAAGTCCAATCTCCCATGGGGATTGGAGGTTGGCTACCATGTCCAGGTAGCTCTGGGCTCATCCGAAGTGGCTACCACTCAGCCAGATGACGTTTCTGGTCTGCCTCCAGAGCTCCACAATGGCCAGGTCCTCACAGTTCTCCGGATCGACAATACCTGTGCACCCATCTCCTTCGATCTGGGAGTTGCGGAAGAGCAGCTGCAGACCTGGGGCATTCAGGTGAGCGCTGACTACTGTTTTTCTTCCCATCCATCCATCTGTCTGCCTATCCTTTCATCCAGTTATTCTCAAAGTATTTATTAAGGACTTACTCTGTGCTAGCTGTAGGAGGGTATATAAGGAAAGTGAATTAGGACTTTGTTCTCTTCCTAATTCATTCACTTAACAAATATGTGTTTAGGTGCCCACTCTGTGCTGGGCACTTAACTGGCTAAACATCATAGAGGTGGCCAGGACACATGCTCGTGGGTCCCACTGGGGGAGACGGATGTGTGTTGGGTAGATCCGGACAGCAGGATAGATGTGCTGCAGCAGAGGAACGCACAAGACATTAAAGACATTTGTAGGAGAAAATGATAAACTTGCCTGGGGTGGGGCTGGTGGTTATATGAGGTTTGCAGAGGAGCAGATACTTAATCTGGGGTCTCGAAGCGTAAATAGGAGTGTGCTGAGTAGACACAAGGAAGGGCATTTTAGGAGAGGGAACTGCATATGCAAAGGAAAATGCACATGAGTTCATTAGATAATGAAAGAATACCTTTAAGAACAGTGATTCGAGGCACAGACTTCACAGACCCGTAGAACGGGAAGCAGATCCACTTCTGCTACTCATTGTGTGACTTTGGGTAGGTGACTTCACCTCTCTGAGCCTCAGTTTCATCATCTGTAATGAGGACAATATTCATAGCTATTATTAATAGGGTTTCTGTTAATATCAAATGAAATAGGCCGGGCGCGGTGGCTCACGCCTGTAATCTTAGCATTCTGGGAGGCCGAGGTGGGCGGATTGCTCAAGGTCGGGAGTTTGAAACCAGCCTGAGCAAGAGCAAGACCCCGTCTCTACTATAAATAGAAAGAAATTAATTGGCCAACTAATATCTATAGAAAAAATTAGCCGGGCATGGTGGCACATGCCTGTAGTCCCAGCTACTCGGGAGGCTGAGGCAGGAGGATCGCTTGAGCCCAGGAGATTGAGGTTGCTGTGAGCTAGGCTGACGCCACGGCACTCACACTAGCCTGGGCAACAAAACGAGACTCTGTCTCAAAAAAAAAAAAAAAAAATCAAATGAAATAATGCTTGAGGAACATTGGCTCTGTCTCTAGCAAATAGGAAATGGAAATTGTAGCTGTTTATTGCTCTGAAGCACTTACAGGTATGTTTTTCTCTCTTCTCAAAACCCCTAGCAAGATTAGGCCTTCTCTGTGTTAGCCAGGGAAGATTAATTAGGGATCGGGAAGATACACTACTAATTCTACCGTGAAGATTTTAGAATTTACTTTAAAACAGAATCGTTTAGAACAACATTTTATCACCATTGAAGGAAAACGTTCCCATTGACATTGCTAACCCCATATCAGCACAAACTGGTTTATTATTCCATACTTCCTCTGTGCGGAAGAACCTATTTCTTAAAAAGTTGCCTTTAGGTTGGGGTTTTTTAGCTGGTGAGCAGTTTAGCTGGTGAGCAGTTTTTTAGCTGGTGAACAACGTGTATGTTGTTCCACCATATTCCTAGATACATTTTTGATGGTTAAATTCTGTTTTCTTAGGTCTACTCTAGCAGGGTCTTTATGCTCTACAGACATTGACGTTTTTGTTTGGGCAGGAAGATGTGAGTGCTTTGGTCTGTATTCATAGATTTATTTATTTATTTATTTATTTTTAAATATGGAACGCTTCACGAATTTGCGTGTCATCCTTGCGCAGGGGCCATGCTAATCTTCTCTGTATCATTCCAATTTTAGTATATGTGCTGCCGAAGCGAGCACCATAGATTTATTTTTTATTATTATTTTTAATTTTATTTATATTTTATTTATTATAATTTTTTTTGAGCTTGGCTGTTGCATGTATTCATACATATTGATAATAGCACCTGAGTAGCAAGTGTTCACTGAGGGCCCAGCCCTGTGCCCAACCCTGTGCCCAGCACTATATGTGTATTTTCTTGTTTAATGTGTGCCCCAGCCCTGCAAGAGGGGTACTCTTACTATCCTCACCTTACAGATGGGGAAACTGAGGCTCAGAGGAGTGGGGTTACTTGCTCCAGGTCACATAGCATGTGAGTGGCAGGGCCAGAGTTTGGGTCCCAGGCTGTTGACACCAGTGCCTTAACCACTAGGCTACCCTGTGCTGGCCGTGGGGTTCTGAGTCTCAGGCTGGGTGGCTCCTCCAGGATGCCATGATGCCTGTTCTCTCCTGAGCTGAGGGCTGCACCCTGCGACTTCCACCCAGTGCTCCAAGCTCCTCATTCTGCCCCAGGGGACGTCCGGGAATGTGCCTAATCCCCCTTCCACATGACAGTCACATGCACTGGAAATGACATGCTTGCAGGCAGGAAGGAGGTGGGGAGTAGCCTGTCCTCTGGCTGATTGGTCCCTTCCCCTCGGGTCCCGAGCAGGTCCCGGCCGACCAGTACAGGAGCTTGGCCGAGAGTGCCCTCTTGGAGCCCCAAGTGAGAAGATACATCATCTACAACTCGAGGCCCATGCGGCTGGCCTTTGCTGTGGTAAGGAGGGTGTGGCCCGCACCCTGCCCCTGCCCTGGCCCCTGGCGGCCCTGCTGGGTTCAGCATCCTGTCCTGAAGCCGTTGATGTGGGGGAGGGGTGGGGGGGCTGGTGACACGGCTGCCTGGGAAAGAGCAGTGCCACATGGCCTGGATTTGGTTAAGAGGAAACTTATGGGAGAGAGTTGTAACCAGGCCCCTGTATAAAGGGTGGGAGTCAGGGTCTGCTGTGGCAGGTCAGAGCTTGGGATTAGGAATCTCAGACCCACCGAAGCTCTGGATTCAGTGTCTGGCCTTGGGTAAGTCTTTTCCCCTCTTTGGGGCTTGGTTTCCCCATGTATTCAAGACACAGGTTCATTTCACCTGTAGCGTATGTATACATGTGCGTGTGTGTGTATAAACACACATACACACCTGCATGTAGATACACCTAAACACATACATGCATGTACAGCAGAGCCAGGATTCAAACCCAGGCAGTCTGGTTTCAGCTGAGCTCTGAGCTGCTATGATTTGCGGCTGTTTTGTATATATAAAGGGTCACATAGCACACCTGACTCCCACATCCCACTTCTAGGGAGAAGGGACCCGGCATTTGTTAATTTCCCAGTAGGTGCTGGGCTGTTGCATATATTAACTTGTTAACCCTTATAACAATGCCATGAAGTGGGTATTTTTATTTTATTTATTTTTTTACCCTGGATATGCTAAGAGAAGCAGGCATTGTTAATCCCCATTTTACAGATGAGGAAACTGAGGCTCAGAGGTGTTATAATTTGTCCAAAGCCACATAGCAACCGAAGGATCAGTGTGGGCTTCGGACTCAAATTTATCTCACTCTAGAGCCACCTGCCTTTTTCTGTTTCATTTGAAATCAAGGTAAACAAGGATTAGGAGTAGCTCCTAACCCCTTCATCTACGTTGTCCTATAAACAAGGAACACGCACTCATTCCCCCAGACCCGGTGTCCCCATCAGTCCCCTGCTTGCCCTGGGAGCTGTTGGAATCCAAGGAGGGTGTCAGGAGTGTGGAAAGGGTGTCCCCGTGCGTGGAGCTGCTCCTTTTGAGGACTGGGTTCCTGACCGTGCGCTCTCCGGCCGCTCACAGGTGTTCTACGTGGTGGTGTGGGCCAACATCTACTCCACCAGCCAGATGTTTGCCCTGGGGAACCACTGGGCGGGCGTGCTGCTCGTGACCCTGGCCGCGGTGAGCCTGACCCTGATGCTCCTGCTTGTGTTCGAGAGACACCAGAGGAAGGTGAGTTGTCCGGAGACCCCTGCCACGCTCCCTCCAGGAGGGCTGTGCAGGCACAAGGACTCCAAGTCAGAGTTTTCTCTTTGCCTGCCTCGAAGAATTCCTCCAACCATGAGAATTCATGTACTGGCCCATATACGCCCAGTGACTAAAAGAAATCAAATCACACCTGTGATTAAATCCTCTCTGTTTTTTTTCTATCTACTCCTGTTTTTCTAGAAGCAAGCTGTGTTTTGAGAGGGTGTCTGGGAGGAGGGCACCAATAGCGAATATTCTTACAGTGCTTTAGGTAACTGAGCCCCTTCCCGCGCCGCCTCTCCTGGGATGCTCACGGCAGCGCTGTGAGCGAGGAGGGGTTGCTGAGCCCCCCTTGCAGCAAAAGGTGCCTGGGGTTGAGGGATGGGGAGAAGTGATTCCCACTAATCCTTCTTGTGATGGGCGGATGCTGACCTGGTGCTCTGCTGACAGTCTCTAATCCTGGCGACAACCTCTGGTGCAGACAGTGGGTGATCAGAGAGTTTAGGTAACTTGTCCTGGATCCCACTGTTAGTGGCAGAGCCAGGGTGCAAAGCCTGAGCCCTCTGATTCCTGATCACAATCAGAAAGAAGGTTGATACTTCCCAGCTTAATGCATGGTTCTGGTGGTAGCCTGTTTCTTCAGTGCCTTTGGTTACATATTGAGCACTTCGTATGTATTAATAGTAGGTTGTCTATTAAACGCTTTATTCGTTAACTCAATAGATCCCTCAGCAAATCTCTGGGTAGATGCTGTTACACGCATTTTCTAGGTGAGGAATCTCTGAAAGGGTCGCGGAGCAGCCTAGGGCCGCGCTGCTAATAGATGGCAGAGTTGGACTCAAGTCAGGGCCAGGACACCCAGAATCCAAGCCATGTTCTCAGTCAATACTGTATTGGCTTTCTATGGCTGCTGTAACAAATTACCAGGAACTCGGTGGCTTAAAACATCATAAACTTATTACTACACAGTTCTGCAGGTCAGAAGTTAGACATGAGGTTCCCTGGGCTATGATCTAGGTCAGGTGTCCTCAAACTATGGCCCGAGGGCCACATGCGGGCCACCTAGCACATTTATCCGGCCCTCCAGGTGTTTTTACCACCGATGCCCATCCTGCTTAGTGGCCGACTTTTCCCGGGCCCACAGTGTGCACTCTCCAATGGTCTGAGGGACGGTGAACTGGCCCCCTGTTTAAAAAGTTTGAGGACCCCTGATCTGGGTGAAGGCAGGGCTGTGTTCCTTCCGGGAGGCTCTGGGGGAGAATCTGTTTGCTCGACTTTTCCAGCTCCCAGAGGGCCCCTGCACTCCTTGGCTTGTGGCCCCTTCCACCATCAAAGCCAGCAGTGGCAGGTCCGCTCTTTCTCACACCTCCTTCTCTGACCCTTTTGCCTCCTTCTTCCATTTTTGAGGACTCTCATGATTACATTGGGCCACCTGGATAATGCAAGATTATCTATTAATTTTAAGGTCAGCTGATTAGCAACATTAATTTCTCCTACAAATTTAATTCCCCTTTGCCATGTAACAACATATTCTCAGGTTCTGACAACTAGGACTCAAACATCTTTGGGGGATCTTTGTTCTGCATGCCACACCTGCGCTGTCTTTCCAGCTACTTGGGAGGCCCCTGTCCCACTGGTCCCCAGTACCCGGCACAGTTCTGGACTCCGAGAGCCTTAGCAAACAATCTGCTCTTGCGTGACTCAGGAGGGGAGGGCAGGATATTGAGCACTGTAGTCAGGGTTTGGGGCAGGAATTCTAGTTAGTGCCTGAGTTCCTTCACAGGGATGAAAAGGAACTTTATGGCTTAATCATTCTGAACAAGGATCTTTGTTGGGCTTTGCCAGGAGCCTGACAAAATATGCCACCCTTCGGGTCTGTTGGAGCGTTCATGGCTTTTGTGTTTGGCCTGTAAAATATAAATTGAGCTGGCGACTCCTGCAGCAGGAAATTTGTCTTAGAGAGGGGGCAAAAGCAAAGTGTTTGGTGTTAGCAGAAGCAAGCAAAAAAAAAAAGAAAAAAAAAATGTGGCACCTGGCAGGTGCTTCGAGGATGCAGATGTGATTCGTGCAGTTCAGGGAGCCCCTGCTTTGGCTCTCTGCCTCCTCCTCGCTCTTCCTCCTTTTATTCAGCTGCAATTTATGAGGCCCCTGTGAGTACCAGGTAGCGTGCTTGGCGCAGGTTGGAGATGAGCACGACCCGGGCTCGTTCCTCAGAGATTGGCATGGAGACCCCGGGGCCACAGCAGCAGTGCCGTCATCGCTGTCTGCTCATTCAGAAGATGTCACTCCTTCCTAATAATGGCCACCATGTAATGAGTACCTACTGTGTACTCTGTGCTTGGGGCCCAAAGTCTATGTCCAACAACCACCTTATAAGGAGGCAGGATACCTCTGCCATTATTTGCTAGCTCTATCACTTGGGGTAAGTTATTATTTAACCTCTCAGGGTCTCAATGTCCTCATCTGTAAAATGGGATAATAATTGTAGCTCCCTCTTAGGGTTATTGTGAAAATTAAATGACTTGATACACACAAAGAACTTACAACAATACCGGTGTAAAGTGTATGCTTTGTAAGTATTAACTGTGATAGTTGACTCTGTTTGCCAGTGGGGAAACGGAAGCTCAGAGAGGTTAGGTAACTGGGCCATGGCCACACAGAATCCTCAAGTCTGCCTTTGGGTCTCAGCCCCAGGACCTCTTTCTTCCTGGTTCCCTTGTCACTCAGGACCATGTGGGTCCCCTTACTGACCATCGTCATCCTTACTGTTAGCATCCTGCCTGTGTTACCCAGCATCCTTGAGAGCCTTGGCATTTGGCACACACTGCCTTACTTTCCCTTTTTGGTGCATTGCTAGCCTTTCTCAAGATTGGAAAGTTTGTAAAGGCAGGCAAGACCCTACCTTGTGTCTCCTACAGATGCCTTGCTAGGGCATATGGGAAGTTCCTAAAAATATTTGTGGCCAACATGGTACAATGGAAAACACAATGATCTTAAATTCACTGTTATCATTGCAATGATATTATTAGCTGACATGTATTAAGTGTTCACTCTTCCAAATGTTCTACATGGACTCATTCATTTGACCCTTATTATAACCCTCTGAGGTAGGGGTGCATCGTTATCTCCAGTTTGGGGGTGAGGAGATGGAGGCAGGGAGATGTGAAGTGATTTGCCCAAGGTTATACAGGCAGTGAGGGGCAGAGTCAGGAATCGAACTATTGGTGTTGTGGGTTTCTGGAAGGATGAACAACACACACTACAGTTCTAGGTGAAACAAAACATAATCATCCCTTGGTTTTTATAGTCGTGAGATTCCTGGAAAAGTCAGTGTATATTAAGCCCATGCAAAAACTCACTTTAGGTGTATATATGTGCAGTGGAGTTAGGTTGGCTGATCAGAGAACTCTGAGCAGAGTTTTCACCTTCATTCATGCCCAGCGGGGCATTTGGAGTCCAGGTAGGAGGCCAGGGGACAGTCTTCAACTGCAGAGTGGTCTCTCGTGGGACATGACCTTCCACAGGAAGCACGTGTGTAGTATCCCTGGCAGTCTTCCACTCAGTGCCAGCACTGTCTGTCCCATCCCCATGACAACCAAAAGGGCCTCTTCACATTTCCAGAAGCTCCCTTTGGTGGTCCTGCTGCTTTTGAGAACCGTTGTCCTTGATCGGCTGTTTGCTTCTCGCTGCATCAGAAAGTCCTCGTGGGCTGTCTTCCCCAGCCCAGCATCTGGGGTCCCGCTACCCTTCCTCCGTGCTCCCTCCCCTGCCTGCCGGCATGCACTTTGCCAGCTGAATCCCTGGCCTCCCTTGGTTTGGGTGGGGAGGGAAGGAGGCTGATTCTTTCACGTAGGTGCTTTTTAGGTGGAGCGGGGGCTTCCCTTATGCAATAGATGCTCAAACCCATCCGGTCCCCTGCCTCCCACAAATAGCTCATGCACACGCCTGAGTGCCAGGCGCAGGTGGCGTGCTTCACGCACGATCTCCATGAAGTCTCACCACATTCCTAGGAGGCAGGGACGCTCTTTGATTCCGCAGCCGGAGACCACAAGGCTCAGGGAGGGACGTGCTGTGTCTCCTCCAGGATCCAGCTTTGGCTCAGGACGGTCTGACACAGCTGGATCTGTTCCGCACCCTCCACCCCATCTTACATGGGAGGAGATGGGGGTGTCCTGGGGGCCAGGATTGTCCTGAGGCATCTAGGGGTGGGACGGTGTGTGGCTGTTGCCCGGGGCCCAGGTGCTCCCTGGCGTTTGTCTTACAGGCCAACACCAACACGGACCTGAGGCTGGCGGCTGCCAACGGAGCCCTCCTGAGACACCGGGTGCTGCTGGGGGTGACGGACACGGTGGAAGGATGCCAGAGCGTGATCCAGGTGCTGTGTCTCGGAGTGACCTCTTCTCGGTGGCCTGCTTTTGGCAGTGTCTCTGGGAGTCTGCGACGGCGGTCGGCAGCCCTTCCCTGCTTCCCCGTTCCGATGTCTCTTCCTGGAGACGCCTCCTCTGTGCAGTAACCGGTGACCTGGAACCTCCGGGGGGCAGGGCTGGCAGGGAAGCTCAGGTCATGTCCAAGCCTCACTGCTTGCGCGACGTTTATTCAGCACACAGATGGGGCCTCCTCCGTGCTGAGCCCCCGGTTGGGCACTGAAGACACTGAGGGGCCCATGCGAGGTCCCCGTCCTGCAGAGCTCGCAGGCTGGTGAGGACGACAGGTGCCCAGACAGCCAGCAGCTCTGGCCCTAGAGCAAGGGGACGGCCCCTGACAAGAGCGCCTGCTGCGTGCCGGGCCCTGTTCTGTGTTTGTGGGGCTGTTCCACCTGAGGCAGGGCAGGGTGTGAGGCGATCGTGCCCGGCGTCAGAATCGGGGTGAAGCAGGTGGCATCACAAGATTCCTGGCAGCTCAAGTGTGCCATCAAAGACTGGGAGCTCTTGGAGTCTGTGGGTCCTTTTTTTTCTTTTTCTTTTTCTTTTTTTTTGAGACAGAGTCTCGATTTGTGGTTGCCCAGGCTAGAGTGAGTGCTGTGGCGTCAGCCTAGCTCACAGCAACCTCAATCTCCTGGGTTCAAGCGATCCTCCTGCCTCAGCCTCCCAAGTAGCTGAGACTACAGGCATGCGCCACCATGCCCGGCTAATTTTTTCTATAGATATTAGTTGGCCAATTAATTTCTTTCTATTTATAGTAGAGACAGGGTCTCGCTCTCGCTCAGGCTGGTTTCGAACTCCCGACCTCGAGCAATCTGCCTGCCTCGGCCTCCCAGAGAGCTAGGATTACAGGCGTGAGTCACCGCGCCCGGCCTAGGGGGTCCTTTTTACCCTCATTTATTTCCAAGCCTTTATCAGTTGGCGCAGGAGTGACTGGCCAAGTGACTGTTGAATGCGTGGATGGCGGACGAGTGAACAATGGACATTCAGATTCATGGGGGGGAGAGGGGGGCCGGGCAGTGGTGCGGGAGGTGTTGGGGAGGGTAACGAGTGAGGGTATCGATGGACCAACAGTGGCTGTGAGGTGCTAACGGTTGACAGGAGGATGGGTCTGTGCCATCCACTTTTGCGTATGTTTAGAGATTTTCATAGTAAGAAGCTTTAAAAGAACCATTTGGAAAATACTCCTTTGGGGACTAGACAGAAACGAGTGGGTACGAGTGATGTGACTTTGGGTCTCACGGGTCAGTCACTGGGAAGAGGGAGGTCTGGGGTCCCGAGGAGGTGGCCCATGGGGTGGGGGTGTGAGACAAGGACCACCAGTTTCCCGCAGAACTTCACTGTCAGGTGTGGCAGGTGTGGTCCCCGCAAGGTGTTGTAACGTGTGAGCAAGGAGGGTTTCAGCCTCTTCAAGTTTCACCTGGCTCCGGGGACCCTCGAGGTTCAGGCAGAAAGGGAAGCCAGGGCGGGGCGAGGACTTCTGATCCCACCCCCCTTCCCTGGAGCACCCCAGTTGATTACCTGGCCGCAGTGGTGACTCAGCCCCAGCGAGTTTCTCTCATTTGCACGTTCAGTTCCAGATAGAAAGGTGCCCCAGTCACTGAGGATGAAGACGGTAGCTGCAGGTGGAACCCCCAGATGTCCAGGAGGGTTAGGAGTCTGTCTGGGGTGTTCAGTGATTTGGGGGGATGGGGCACAGCCATTCTGAACAGGGTTTGACATGTTCTAAGTATGCACAAAGCCATTTTTCTACCAGCCCTACAAATGATGGCATGGTCGTGGCATGGGACTCTGGGAGAGAACAGAATGGCATATTCCTGGCCAGGCTCGGTGGCTCACGCCTGTAATCCTATCACTCTGGGAGGCCGAAGTGGGTGGATCACTCAAGGTCAGGAGTTCGAAACCAGCCTGAGCAAGAGCGAGACCCCCATCTCTACTAAAAATAGAAATGAACTGGCCAACTAAAAATATATATAGAAAAAATTAGCTGGGCATGGTAGCGCATGCCTAGCAGCTACTCAAAAGGCTGGGGCAGGAGGATTGACTGAGCCTAGGAGTTTGAGGTTGCTGTGAGCTAGGCTGACACCATGGCACTCTAGTCTGTGCAATAGAGTGAGACTCTGACTCAAAAAAAAAAAAAAAAGAATCTCACATTCCTGCCGGAAAGCAGGCTACGATTGGTGGGGCCTCTGAAGGCTGGGCCTCCGGCGAGGAGACAGAGGTGGAGGGCGGTCGCAGGGAGGGACAGTTCCAGGCAGGGCTGGCTTTGGGCCACCACGGTCATGGCTACTTCTCCCCACAGCTCTGGTTTGTCTACTTCGACCTGGAGAACTGTGTGCAGTTTTTGTCTGACCATGTTCAAGAAATGAAGACTAACCAAGAGGTAAGATATCTTAAGAGAAAGAACAAAACAAAACGAAAATAAACCAGGAGTCCAAGTTGTATAGGTTGCATTACCTCCATGTTGGAAAGATGTTTAAGAAAGTGACTTGGAAGGAAGGAGGAATGCCCCCATGCAGTAGTGGTTGTTTTTCTTAGGGGAAGAAGGGTTGCTTTTCTGCTTCTTTTCAACTAATTGTATCTTCCCCATTTCCTATAGTGAGGGTATATTTCTTAATAATAATAATAATAATAATAATAAATTCTGGCAGATCCAAAAGGATCATGTGTTTAGATGACCTTCCCTTGTTCACAGTATTATCTTTCTGACATTTATGAAGAAGATGAGAGAGATCTTGCTGTGATTCTACAGAGGAGGAGACAGGCTCTGGAAAGACCTGTCACCTGCCTGTGGTCACAGAGCTGGCCGGTGACGCCCGGGTTTGGAGGCCAGGCCTCCTGTCTCCTTCCCTGGGAACTGCCTTTCCTGGGCCCTGGCCACAGTGGGGCTGGAAGTCAGGATTGTGGTTTAGCTCTGATCCTGGCTTGTTAGTTCCTGGATGGCCTTGGGCAAGGCCTTTAAGCTCAGTTCGTTCACTGCAGTGTGTGGGGAAAGATAGCCATGCTCCCAGGCTACTCTGAGCAAGCGAGAGCGTGGAAGGAAAAGTATTTGGCAGCTATTAAGGTCCGTACTCTTGTAGGGAATTGTGTGATCTCACCACTGCGGTTCAGTTCCAGATTCTTCTGAGGTCAGCATCTGTGTCTGTAGATGGATCTGTCGTCTGCTGGGTCTCAGTGACTCAGCCTCCCAGAGACCACCCAATTTAGGACACACTCAAGCCCCTTCTGTTTCCTTTGCAGTCCTTGCTGAGAAGCAGATTGAGCCAGTTGTGTGTTGTCATGGAGACAGGAGTGAGCCCCGTGACAGCGGAGGGGCCTGAGAACTTGGAGGATGCTCCTCTCCTGCCCAGCAGTCCTTGTCCCCAAGAGACACCACTGATGCAGACTGAGCTTCACCAGCTTGTTCCTGAGGCCGAGCCGGAGGTAATGGGCCCTCTGAGTTGGTAGAGAGCATAGAACGCTAGCCCAGTAGTTTTCAGTCTTTTTTTCTTCACCCCCTACACTTTTAAAAATAGTTTATAGGAATCATTTTATATTTAATGGAATTTTTGTTGCATTTTTTAATATCTTGCATATTCTTTATAATAGTTGCATCGGACAGTTGGTTGCATATTGATGGGTCATAGCTTACTTAACCGTGAACATATTGATGGATATTCGGGTCTTTATCAATAAGTCAGTGAATCATCTGTTCATCTATACAATCTATCTACTTAAATTGCAGTTGGATATTTGAATCTTGTATGTATCTCTGTTAAATTCCAATTCTTCCAGCCCCAGCGTTCTGTTGGGTCCCGCCATCCAGACTGTCTGATGGGTGTGGCTACGGCACTGGTAGACCAGAAATCTGCAAATGAGGTTTGCGCCTCGTGCTACGTTCTTCTTATCACAAGGACAGACCCACCATCAGGGGAGATGCAGTGAGGGGTGACCTTTTGAACTTCAGAAGAGCACTTAGGTTTCCTTTTCAGCCAAGAGGCTTGGGGATTCAAGGTCCACACCAGCCCAGGCTTTCTTTTTCTTTTGCGTTGGTAGGGAGTGGGAAGCCTGTAGATAGGACTATTTAAAAGAGAAAATGATAAATGTATTAATCTTTTCACTTGAATCCTATTGACTATTTTTTAAAGAGCAGAAAAGATTCATAAGGTCACGTACTTTATTATGACATGCATGTCTGGCTTTATGTGCAATAGCCCATTAAATATGGGTCCTCTAAATTATTTTTCAAATTCATTCATACCAACAGCAATACAATTTCCTGTCATGAATATCAAGTGTGTGTGCACATGTTTTTAAAGTAGCTGCCCTTATAATTTAGCTAGGGAAAATATAACTGATGCCCAAGTCTCAGCATGGGCGGACTGTCATATCTCAGTAGGAACCCAGTGTCTGTGAAAGACAGAGAGAGAGTTATAATGACCTTTTACATTTCTACAGATTTTTTTATCATGCATAAAATTCTTTAGCATACCCTCTGGGGTGTGGATTATTTTCTCTTCCTTAATACGGTTCCAAGAGGTCAGCTGACTTGCCCAAGGTCGCAGAGGAAGGGCAAATGTGGCAAAGCCAAGGGCAGAAGCCGGCCTGCTGATGCTAAAATGGGCCAATTTTCTTGCTACAGTTCTTTGCTTCTTACATTATCGATTTTAGAGTAAATTGGTGAGAAGACTGATCTATGTTAGTGAGTGGTAAACTATTTGAAATTTTTCATATTTTCTAGCACAAAGGACGATTGGAAACAAAAGCCAATCCTAGGAACCATGTGGGGTTTCTGCTTTGTGAATAATAATTATGAGAGTGATGTTGATGACATCTATTGAGCACTGGGTACTGGGCTAAATGCTTCTTGTCCATCTGTTCCTTTAACCCCCACTCCAGCTCAGTGAGGTCCATGCTGCTATTTTCCCTATTTTGCTGATGAAGAAATAGTCTCAACAAGGTGAAGTGACTTGCTCAGGGTCAGTCACAGTGTGGGCAAGCTGAAATTCCACTGTGGCCTTTTTGACTCTAAAGCCTGTTCTTTTTTTTTTCTTTTTTGAGACAGAGTCTTGCTTTGTTGCCCAGGCTAGAGCGAGTGCCATGGCGTCAGCCTAGCTCACAGCAACCTCAAACTCCTGGGCTCAAGCAATCCTGCTGCCTCAGCCTCCCTAGTAGCTGGGACTACAGGCATGTGCCACCATGCCCGGCTAATTTTTTCTATATATATTAGTTGGCCAATTAATTTCTTTCTATTTATGGTAGAGACGGGGTCTTGCTCTTGCTCAGGCTGGTTTCAAACTCCTGACCTCGAGCAATCCGCCCACCTCGGCCTCCCAGAGTGCTAGGATTACAGGCGTGAGCCACCGCGCCTGGCCTAAAGCCTGTTCTTAATTAGTAAACAGTCACACGTGGCTTTGATGTCTCCCACACCTTATTTTATTACATTCAGAGTGGACACAAATATTGTGAAAGACCTTCAACACCATGCTTAAGGAATTTAAGCATTTTCCATGTAATCCCAAGTGATACATCAGTGAATGGAACCTTGGAGACCAAATGTGTTCATAAGAACATGTATTAAATCTGATCTTTTTTCTTTTGAGACAAGATTTTGCTCTCTCATCCAGACTAGGGTGCAGTGGTGTGATCATAGCTCACTGCAACCTCCAATTCCCAGGCTCAAATAATCTTCCTGGCTCAGCCTCCTGAGTAGCTGGGACTACAGGTGCACACTCCCACCTGGCTAATTTTTTTATTTTTTTTGTAGAGACAGGGTCTTGCTATGTTGCCCAGGCTGGTCTCGAACTCCTGACCTCAAGCAATCTTCCCACCTTGGCCTTCCAAAGTGCTGGGATTACAGGCGTGAGCCACCATGCCCGCCTAGCAACCTCTTTTAATATATTAGGAGTGCTTACGTAAAGAAACCTAGCAGGTACCCGGTATGCATTGAAGAATCCTGCTATCGTCCTATGGTGGGAATAGTCCCCTCTCCACTTAACTAGTGATTTTCTTTGAGTCACTTTGACCTTACGAACTTTACAGACCTCTAGACATTTGAAAGTGGAAAAAGTGTGTGTGTGTATGTGGTTGTCTAGGTATAAATCAATGGTAATTTCTCTACTCCTTTGAGGCTGCGTATCTTTTGTGCATATTATGATTGCTAGTCAGCAGTTAGTTACCCACCTTGGGGTTGAGTAAACTGAGGCTGTAGGAGCCCCACAGCCAGTCAGTGAAGAGCTGGGGCTCTCAGCCAGGCGACATCTCACCAGAGCCACAGGTGCCGGCCTGGCCTGGCTCTTCCACTGGGCATCTCTCCCGGGTCCAGGGGCCAGAGCCCGCATGGCCTTCCCCTTGTGCTTGAGCCCCACGTCCCTCGAGGTGCCTTCCCATGGCCCTCACTGTGATTCCCTGCCTCTTCCAGGAAATGGCCCGGCAGCTGCTGGCAGTGTTTGGCGGCTACTACATCCGGCTCCTGGTGACCTCCCAGCTCCCCCAGGAGGGGAGAACACGACACACTGACTCTCCGAGGGTTCCATGCCCCTGCCAGCTCATAGAAGCCCACATCCTGGCCACAGGGTGCTGCCCGTTCCTGGCCAGGTGACCTAGGGACCAAGGTACTCATCTTCCTCTGAGACCGAGAGGTGGGGGGAGGCTTCAGGAGCCTGACACGGCCGGTGGCGAGCCCCCGGTGAGAGCAGCGTCTGGGGCATTGCAAAGGGGGTCAGTCACGCCAGCAACAGGGGTGCCGTGCTCACTGTGGGACGCTGCACAAAACGGCTGCGCCCTGGCCTTTGCAGAAGCTGATGGTCGCTGAGCTGGTCCCAGCCCAAGCTACCCTGTGCTGCTCAGAACTGGGGACATGGACAGAAGGGCCCGTCTCCCATCCCTTCCAGTGTCCGGAAAGCCCAGGAGATACGAAGATGGCAACTGGGGAAACCAATGCATCCGGAACTTGGTCTCAGATGATGCTTCTGTCCCCAACCCCTTATGTCAGTTGGAGAAACTGAGGCCCAGAGAGGATGCTGCCCTTTTGTGGCATTGCCTGGGCGGATGTCTAAAATTGTAAGACTTCCTCTTTCCAATCTGAGGAAGATAAGTCGGTTTCAGAATTCTCTCCATTTTTATGTTTTCCTCCCCCATATTTTAAGAAAAACGGTGGCACCTGGCACACAGGCCACAGAAGACAGGAGGCAGAAGAAAGAGACAAAGGCAGCTAACTGTTAATGTGAATATTTGGAAGAGGCTGACCCTGTTTGACATGAGGATTTATTTTGCTCAAACACGTGCATGCTTATGCTCGTGGTTATGCTGAGGATGGCTAACCACACTCGTGTTTTCTGACGCTAATGTTGTCCTGGCAGGAAGTGTGATCAGTCACTTGTGGAATTCTGTGATGAGCCCCGAGGCCCTTGAACGAGTCCGAAGACCCGTTGTTCCACAGGCCTAAGTCCCAAAGCCCCGACCTGGCTTTGGAAGGCTCCCCAGCCCCCGAGACCCACCTTCACCTACAGTTTTGGCTTCATCTCCCACATAGCCGCTTTATAAGTTGAAACACCTTCCTGGTCTGACATACCTATTCCTTTCTATCTGTTGGACTCCTATTTATGCCTTAAAGCCCAGCTTTCCTTACCCCTCCTCAGGAAGCCTTCCAGCATGGCCAGCCCTGCTGCTCTCTGACTCTTGATACAGCTGCCACCTATACTGACGTTCTGTGTTACTGATTCTATTTTCCTGTGTACATGCTAGTTTTTCTAGCTAGACTGTAAACTCCTCAAGGATAGAGACTGTACCTTATACTTTTTGTGCATGACCTGAGCCTGCCAAGGAAAAAAAAAAATCCTGTGGATTATTTTGCCATCTCCATGGCACCTTTTGCAAATTGTTCTCCAAACTCAGTTGAATGATAACATTGGGATGGACCCGGGTTTTGGATGGACCTGATCTGCCACTTCTAGCTGTGCAGCTTTTGACAAGTTACTTTCTTTGTCTGGTCCTCAATTTGCCCATCTATATAATGAGTGCATAATGGATGATTCTTAAGGGCCCTTCCAGGAGCAAAGTTCTGGGAATTTCCAATTTATTCTACACCCTCCTAGCTCTTGGCCTCTGTCTGTCTGTTATGCCTTTATCTACATGCAGAAAGGTCCTACAGCCCCAAGGTGGCTAAGGTGTCCCAGGCCTGGTGTGCCCTTGGACAGAACACTGGCCTAGCTAGCAGGAGACTGGATTCTTGTCCCCAGTCTGCTGCTTGCTAGCTGTGTGACCTTGGCTAAGTCACTTAACCTCTCTTAGTGTCACTTCACTCCTTTATGAAATGGATCTGGTGAACATGAATGTAATAATGCGAGTGACTCACCATGTAAGAGACCGGTCTGAGTACGCACTTTCTCTGCGCCAGAGAAGAGAGATAGTGTGTAGACCAGCCCCCCAGAAGTGGCTGTTGTAGGCTTCTATCTTTAGTCAGGGTTGAAGGCAGCTTTACTCAACGAAATTATTCACCAAGGTGATTGATCGCTGTCTTTCTGACCTGACACAGAGGAAATACTGGCTGTGAATGTGACCAATAGAAACCTGTATTTATCATCCCATCATCAAACTGTGGTATGTATAATAACAGAGAATAAAAACGTATTTGTTAAATGACAGAGCAGCAGTTTTTCAATGTTAATGTCTATTTAAAGAGCCTTTTATGTCTTATTCCCTGCTTTTTCCTTCTTTTAGGATGTCTAATGGCCTCACCTGGTGGGTGGTCATTCGAGAAGTGCCCACAGGGTACATTTCTCTGCATCTGTGCCTGGGTTTTTCTTCGTCATTGCTCTGGTTCCAGAGCACTTATTCTAACCCAGGTTCCACCACTAGGCACAGAGAGCTTCCTGCCATCGAGTCTCAGTCCTGTGTAGAATGGGGATGAGGACCTACCTGGCAGGTTGTTGTGAGGATTAAAGGCTATACAAAATGTTCAGTGCTCGCAATGTTCAGGGCTCTGAATTACAAGTTTGAGTAAGAACTTAATAAACTGTTGCTTTAAAAAAAAATTCTCACCATCTTGTATACAGTAGGTGCTTGAAGTAGTATGGATTTTTGTTGATGTAGTAGGTCATTGACAGTGGACGTTTATTCAGTCTGCGTCAGACCCCAGTTATTTCAGCACCATGGGGCTTATTTATGTGAATGAAGAGTTTAGTCCCATCTCTCTGGAATTTAGCACAGGGGAAGTTAAGAGCAAGCTGGTGACTTGGGGCCAGATACTCAACCCTTTCTGTGCTTCCTGAACCTTCATTTCTTCATCTAGTAAGAGCTAGTGTGGGCCGGGCGCGGTGGCTCACGCCTGTAATCCTAGCACTCTGGGAGGCCGAGGTGGGCGGATTGCTAGAGGTCAGGAGTTCGAAACCAGCCTGAGCAAGAGCGTCTCTACTATAAATAGAAAGAAATTAATTGGCCAACTAATATATATAGAAAAAAATTATCCGGGCATGGTGGCGCATGCCTGTAGTCTCAGCTACTTGGGAGGCTGATGCAGGAGGATCGCTTGAGCCCAGGAGTTTGAGGTTGCTGTGAGCTAGGCTGATGCCATGGCACTCACTCTAGCCTGGGCAACAGAGTGAGACTCTGTCTCAAATAATAATAATAATAATAATAATAATAATAATAATAATAATAGCTAGTGTGATAATAGAGTAATGAATGGAGGGTTGCATGTGGAGCTCAAGGCCTGGCCCACAGCACAGTCCATAGTAGGGGCTTGGTCACTGGAGGCTTTTCTGCAGCTGTCGGGTGCTGTTATCTTCTAGTTCATTTCATCCTGTGTTATGTTACAGTTTTGTGTTTTCATATTTAGGTCTGTGATTCCTTTTGAGTTTGTTTTTGTGAAGGGCGTAAGGTCTATGTCTAGATTAATTTTTTTGCATGTCCTTCCAGAAGAACTATTTGTTGAAAACCTCATCTTTGCTCCATTCTATTGCTATTGCCCCTTTTCAAAGATCAGCTGACTGTATTTATGTGGGTCTATTTCTGGCCTCTCTGTTCTGTTCCACAGATCAGAATTGCCTATTCTTTTCCAATACCACCCAGTTTTGATTCCTGTAGCCTTATAGTAAGTCTTGAAAATGGGTAGTATTAGTCCTCCAACTTTGTTATTCTCCTTCAAGGCTGAGTTGGCTATTCTGGGTCTTTAGCCACTCCATATAAACCTTAGAATTGGTTTGTTAATATCCACAAAATAACGCTGAGTTTTTGATGGGGATTGCATTGACTTTATTATAGATTTAGTTGGCAAGAACTGACATTTTGACACTATTGAATCTTCTTGTCCATGAATATAGAATATCTCTCCATTGACTTAGTTCTTTTATTTCTTTCATCAGTTTTGTATTTTTCCTTATATAGATCTTGTACATATTTTGTTAGATTTATACCTATTTCATATTTTGGTATTATAATACCAAAATGGTGTTATAGTTATACTAATAAAAATGGTATTGTGTTTTTGACTTCAAATTTCACTTGTTCATTGCTAGTATATGGGAAAGAGATTAGCTTTTGTTTATTAACCTTGTATTTTCCCACCTTGCTATAATAACTTATTAATTCTAGGAGTTTCTTTGTTGATTCTTTTGTTGATGAGATGATCATCTTGTCTACAAAGACAGTTTTATTTCTTTCTTATTTCTTTTATTTCTTTCTCCTAATCCATATACCTTTTATTCCCTTTTCTTGTCTTATTGTATTAGCTAGGACTTCCAGTATGATGTTGAAAAGTAGTGGTGAGAGGGAACATTCTCGCTTTGTTTCTGATCTTAGTGGGAAAGTTTCTAGTTCTTATCATTAAATATAATGTTAGCTGTAGGATTTTTTGTAGATATTCTTTGTTAAGTTGAGGAAATTCCCTCTGTATTCTAGTTTACTGAGAGGATTACCTTTCTTGTGATTAGTGATTACATAGTATGACTTTGTTCATCCTTTTACTTTTAACCTATCTCCATGTTTATATTTAAGATGCCACCCTTGTAGGCATATAGGGTTTGGTTTTATTTTTTAATTCAGTCTTCTAATCAGAGTATTTACTACATTATGTCTGATGTATTTACTAATAAATTTGGGCTTGGATGTATCATCTTACTATTTACTTTCTATTGGTCCTCTTTTCTGTGTGCTTTTTTGTCTTTTTTTCCTTCTTTTGGATTAAGGTGTTTTTGTTTTGGGTAATTTCTCTTTAATTAGCCTATGAGGTATACTTTTCTTTTACAGTTACCTAGATTACAACAAGCAACCTTGTCATAGTGAAGTCTGTTTTAAGTGATTACATCTGCCATTTCCTGGACAACACCAAGAGCATACAGCTCTTTCTCCTATCTGCCTATTGTGCTAGTCTTGCCACAGATTTCAATTTTCTCTGTATTTTAAATCACAACATTCTTATTAATGCTTTATATTGTCAATATTCATTTAGATTTATTCACGTTACCTTTTATTACTCTTTATTACTTCTTGTTTATTACTCTTTGTTCCCTCCTGTATTTCTATGCACCAATCTAGGATCCTTCTCCTGGAATTCACTTGAGAACTTTTCTTTAATATGGTATATTTACAAACACCTTTAGTATTTTTTTTCCAGTGCCGATCTTATGGTGACAAATTCAGTTTTTTGTTTGCTGAAAAGTTATCTATTTTGTTCTTATTTTTGAGAGATGTTTTTAGTAAGTAAGGAATTCTAGGTTAGTACGGTTATTTTCTTTCAACCCTTTGAAGATGTCATTGGTTTCCATTGTTTCTGTTGAGAAGTCGGCTGTCAGTTCTGTTGCTGCTCTTAAAATTTCCTTTTTGCTTTGGGTTTCAGCAGTTGTATTCTGAAGTGCCTCGCTGTAGTTTTGGGTCTGTAGCAAGTCTTGAACCTGTGACATGATATCTTTCATCATAGCTTCTGCCTTTTCTTTCATCTCCTTTTAGGACTCTAATGATATGCGTTAGACCTTTTCACTTTATCTCTAAGACTCTTCTTATTTTCCACTCTTTTGGCTCTTTGTGATTCAGTCTATTTTCAGCTGATTTATCTTCTACTTCATTAATCTCTCTCTTTTTTTTTTTTTCCCTAGAGACAGAGTCTCTGTTACCTAGGTGGGAGCACAGTGGCATGGCATGATCATAGCTCACTGTAATCTCTGTACTCCTGGGCTCAAGTAGTCCTCCCACTTCAGCCTCCCAGGTAGCTGGGACTATAGGTGCATGCCATCATGCCTGGATAATTTTTTGTAGAGATGGGGTCTTGTTGTGTTGCCCAGGCTGGTTGCGAATTCCTGGCCTCAAGCTATCCTCTTGCCTCGGCCTCCGAAAGTGCTGGAATTACAGATGTGAGCCACTATGCCTGGCCTCCGTTAATCTTGCCCTCATTTATATTTAATCCTGTCAATTGAGTACATCAATTGAGTACAATTAATTTCATCTATTGTGATATTCAGTTGTATAATTTTTATTTGATATTTTAAATAGTTTCCAGTTCTCAGGTGAAATTATCCATCTTATCTGTTTTCTTCAATGTTTAATTGCACTTATTTTTAGAGATTAGTTCCTCTTTGTTGCCCAGGCTGAAGTGCAGTGGCAAGATCATAGCTCAGAGTAACCTCAAACTCCTGGGCTCAAGCAATTTTCCTGTCTTAGCCTCCCACATAGCTGAGACTATGGCTAACTTTTTAATTTTTGTAGACATGGGGTCTCTCTATGTTGCCTAGGCTGCTCTCGAACTCCTGGCTTCAAGTGATCCTCCCACTTGACCTCCCAAAGTGCTGGGATTGTAGGTGTGAGCCACCGCACCTGGCCTAAGTGTGCTTATTTTAAAGTTCATGTCTACTGACTACAATATTTGATTCTTCTGTAGATTTTTCTTTTGCTTTTCGGTCAGTAAGTTGGTCTTATCTTTTGATATTCCTGCTAATTTTTTATTGAATGCTAGTCTTTTTTTAACTTAAAAATTGAAGAGATATACAAGGCTCTAGATCTTTCTTCAGAGAGGATTTACTTTTGCTTCTGGGAAAAGTAGGATCGAGATAGGTTGGACCCTGGGCTTCCTTTGTGAGAGCTGGTCTATTCCTGATCAGCCCTTACTCTCAGGTTGTAGCCCTTCAGGGGTTTTAGCTGAAAACCTATTAAAAAAATTTTTTTTTAAAACCAGGATTCCTCCTTCACAGTGAGCCCTGAACCTCTAATTTTTGTTACCCCAGGCTGTGAGTCTGTGGAAAGTGCTACTTAGCTTTTCAGCCAGATACCCTCTGTTTAGGACTTGGCAGGTGCCTAGAGAAGATCAGAGGGTCTCAGTGTCTGTCTCCTCTCTCTGCACTTCCTTTCTCTCCAGGATCTTGGCCCCTCAAGTCCTGACTGTGTTGGCAGCTCTCTCATGCATTCAAAATTATTTAAGAAAATAAACAAACAGAAAAACAATAGCTCTTAAAATGGCCCTCAGTAGGAGGATTTTTCTCTTTAAGCTAGTTGGCCATATCAGAAGTAAATCCAGTTGTGGCTTCCATGCTTATTTTTATTGTTATTATTGAAAAATCCTTCAAAGACAGATGCCAGTCTAAGGCTTAGAGCCCTTTGAAAAAGTCACAAGATGGGAGCCTCTTTGCATCCCTTCTGTGAAGGGGTTTCTAAATTATCAAAGCAAGGAGTGACATTTAAGGAGCATCTTTTATGTACAGAGCACCTGCTGTAGTTGTTGCAGAAGCAGTCCCAAGACATAAGGAACCTGGGTTTGCTCAGGAAGGAAAGCGGGACGTTGGCATGGGAGGTGGTGAGGCATACATAGGATGAGAGGAATCTGGGTTAGAGGGTGGGTCCAGGGCGTGCATTGTGAGGACTGGCAGTGGAAGAGGACCCCGGACAACGAGGCCAAAGAAAATGAACCGTATCTGCACCCCATTGGTGCCAGTGGGGATTATTCCCCTATTGGGAAGAGGAGCCACAACATGGTAAACTGATAACTGCACACACAGAGCAAGCCCCTTTCTTTCCTTCTACCCATAGTCCTTTTACCTTTTCCAGCTAAATATTTCCAACTTCCTTCTTAATAGGGCCATCTGAATGTCCCATAGGCCCCTCCAGCTTGACAGTTCAAATGACAGGATCTGCTGTGTTGTCACCTTGGCCTCAATACCACAAGAACCTCCTTCCCTAGAATCTTCTTTTCTGTGTGGTTAGACTTAGAATTGGCCAGCTTTGCCTGGGAAATGCAGCTGGGGCCCTCTGCATCCTTACTGCTGCTGGTATGGTCTGCCCTGGTTGCCTTGGCAGCCTTTTCATTTGATTTCTGTATTAGCTTCCAATCAGAAGGTAGAAACCACACAAAAATTTGAGTATGAGAAGTTGAATATAAACAATTATTAACTATAACAGGGGATTGGAGTAATGAAGGAGTGGTTAGTAAGAGAACTTTAAATATAAGATATAAGGAGCAGCCCCCACCCCTAGGGCTAAGAGAGCATCTGCAGAAGAATTCCCCGAACCCCATCCCCAGCTGAGGTCCAGACCTTGTTGGGAAGGACATGGCTGTGGCCCACGATGGCAGAGAAGTCTGTGAGGTGCTACATTGCCAGAATTTTCTAGAAATCTGCCCCCCCGGCTGCCAGGGAAAGCTGTCATGGAGGTGTGTCTCCTTGGAGGTACTCCCTGCATTTGTGGGAGGCGCTAGGAGAAACCTGCTAAGTGCTACCTACTGACCCCCAGCTGCTGCAGGACCCCGCTCTGGAAGAGCTGCCTACACTGCAGGAATGTGGTATTTGAGAAGCTGTGTGCTCTGCAGGAGACTGCAAAGATGGGCACAGCACAGCCAGGAAGAAAAACCCCTTCCTCCTCCAATGTCTCCAGCACCCACTGCTGACAAACTGCAACTTTGCACCAGCTACCAAAGAAACAATGCTTCAAGGGCCCGGCTCCATTTTTGAAGAGCAGGCAATGAATGGTCAATTTGGGGTCCTTTCAGACCCTAGACTTCCAGAATGACATATGGAGTAATAACTGAATGTCATTCTATCATCTAGGGGCTGCACAACCAACTAAGAGTGTAGACTCTGGAGTCAGACTTCTTGAGTTCAAGTCTTAGCTTTGCCACTTAATATTAGTGTAAATTAGTGTACATCCTAAAGGGTTTATTTAACCTCTCTGTGTCTCAGTTTCCTAATCTGTAAAACGAGGGTAGTAATAGTACTAACCTTGTTGGGTTATTGTACTAATTGAGTTGCTATTTATGAAGCACTTAGAAGAGTACCTGTCACAGCCTGAGCAATATATCAGACTTCGTATATTGCTATTATCGGGTTACACTCAAATCCATCCTTCCACCTGCATCGAGGATGGACTTCCCATGATAGGTATGAATTTATTTCATAGCACTGTAGCATAAGACATCATATTCCTTTGTTTCTCTATTTTCTGAGGTGGGACAGGCACAGGGGCTGCTAATTAATACGTTGTCTTCCAGCTCCCATTGTAATGGTCTTCATGTTTGTGGCCCCCCCATTCATATGTTGAAATCCTAACTCCCAAGGTGAGATATAAGAATTGGGGCCTTTAGGAGGTGATTGGATCATGAGAGCAGAGCCCTATTGATTGGGATTAGTGCCCTTATAAAAGAGGCCTGAGAGAGACCGTGTGAGAACAGCGAGAAGATGCCATCTTTGAGGACAGAGGCCTTCACCAGACACCAAATCTTGTGGTGACTTGATCTGGGACTTCCCAGCCTCCAGAACTGGGAGCAATACGTCTCTACTGTGCATAAGTCACCCATTTATGGTGTTTTGTTATAGCAGTGTGAACGGACACTGTTTACATTGCAAAAATCAGAAATCTGGCTGTCCCACTTTGTTGCTTAAAACCCATCTGTGGCTTCCCATAACCTCCAGGAGAGAGTCCAGCTCCATCTCCCTGGATGGGAGGCTCTTGCCCTGGCCCCCTTGCCTCCCACAGAACCCTGGCCCAGGCTCTCCCTTGGGTCATTCTGGACTTGGAAATTCACTACCCTTGCACTCCAGCAGGTTGTGTCTCTATTTTCCAACTTGGCTGATTTTGTTCCTCCTGGAATACTGTTCTCCTTCCTCTTGGCTTGTCTAATTCTCTTTCAACCTTCAGAAAACTCAAGCACCACCTCCTCCAGGAAGCCTTCCCTGAATCCTTAAGTCAGTTGCAAAATGTTCCTCATCGTTTTTTGCCCAAAGTTGTCTTATGTCAAAGTGATACGTTTCTGTGCCTGGCTCCCTGGCTAAAGCTGAAGCCACTTGGGGCCTCTTGCATATTACTCCTGTTTGCATGCGTGGTGTTTTTGCAACGAGCAGCACTGCACGTCTGCGCTGGCTACGCACTGCACAGCTCTAGGGCTGCAGGTTGCAGAGGTTTGCACAACCTGCCCCACTGTTCCCTATGGCCCTGAGTGTCACAGGGAGTCACATAGTAGGTCAGCAGAATTGTGCCCTCAAGCTCTGGGACACTCACGACAGCATCCATTTGTAGCTGCCTGTTAACCCTCACTGGCCTCTCCTGAGCATTTTCTTGTTGGGTTGATTAGGAGTGACTGACGAAATGTTTGAAAATGATAAAACCACATTTCTTTCCAGGTGCTCCACATCCACAGGAATCTCAGAAGTAGGGCTGGGGAAAGGGAAAAGAGGAGGGACACGGTCCTCTGATGCGAGCAAGGACTTTAATTGGAGGCAGCTCCTCCCGTGGCAGCTTCTCAGGAGCGGGGGCGACTTTTGCTGGTGGCACAAGGATGGCTCAGACGTCTTCTCCTCCTCTGGGGGAGTTTCTGAATCGGTCTTCATGACTCCTGGCCGTCACCCTCTTCCTCCTGGGGGTGCTCCAGCAGCTGCGTAGCCTTAGGGACCCGCGTGGGTGCTGCCGGCTAGCAGGTTGCTCAGGGTCGGCCCAGCGGGAACACCTTGAGCATCACCCGCTTGTCAGCGGGGAGGCCTGAGCGTTTCCTCAGCATACCGTTCTGGTGGGAATTTCTGTTTAGACCTGAAAGAATGAAGGGAAAAACTTACCCTGGGTACAGGCTCTGAGTGATGTGTGAGTACCACCAGTCTTGGCAAGATCCTGCTCAGGGATTGCTCAAATCCTTCATGGCTTTAAGAGAAGGCCACGTGTATGAGCTAAGAATGACCTGAAACTAGGGAAAGCAACTGAGATTTTTTTTTTTTGAGACAGAGTCTTGCTTTATTGCCCAGGCTAGAGTGAGTGCCGTGGCGTCAGCCTAGCTCACAGCAACCTCAAACTCCTGGGCTCAAGCAATCCTCCTGCCTCAGCCTCCCTAGTAGCTGGGACTACAGGCACGTGCCACCATGCCCAGCTAATTTTTCTATATATATTAGTTGGCCAATTCATTTCTTTCTAGTTTTTATAGTAGAGATGGGGTCTCGCTCTTGTTCAGGCTGGTTTTGAACTCCTGACCTCGAGCAATCCGCCCATCTCGGCCTCCCAGAGTGCTAGGATTACAGGCGTGAGCCACCGTGCCCGGCCTGCAACTGAGATTTTAGAGTTTACTCGTTACTCAGTATAGCCCACTGATCCTTACTAATTCATGTACACAGTGACTGTTTGCTGAGTGCCTTCATGTCAGGCCATAGTCTGGGCACTTACATGCGTTGCCTCACTTCATCCTCCTAACGACCTGCCAAGTAGGCAATATGTTATATTATCATCACCCCCATTTTGCAGAGAAGGGTGCTGAGGCTTAGAGAGGGAGGGTTAGTGACATGTTCAAGCCCTGTAAGTGGTTGAGGCAGAATGGAAACTGCTATGCAGGACTGAAGCCAGTGATTGCAACTCGTATCTAATACTGACTAGCTGATGAGTCTTTAGGCTGTGTTGTTACGGGCTGGAGTAACTACTTCCCTTCCACACTCTCAAGAGTCTGGAAGAAGTCTGAGCGTCCCAGCAGGCAGTGGCCGGGGAGACAGGCCGGGAAGAATAACTCAGATGTTCCTGCCAGCTACCACACACCCATGTCTGGAACCTACTGAGGGACCGCGGCTGCTGCTGCTGCGACATTCTTGGAGTCCTGGAGCCAACAGTGGGAGGAGGCCTCTCATCAGCCCTGCAGCAACAACAGAAGATCTTGGCCGCCATGTTTCGGTGGGCCACGGGAGGAGGAAAGGGCGTTCAGGGGCAGCCCCAATCCTGCAGCCCCAATCCCAGAAGCCCATTGTTATCGAAGCGCTGGGTCATACTGGGCCCTCCCCTCTCCCCAACCTTCTGTAGCTCCCTGTGCCTGGCAGGTCCAGGCCCAGCTGCCCGGGCCTGCAACCCTGAGGGCCGGTCCGTCTACTGTGCAGGTTTCTCCTACCTGAGGAAAGGACCTGGAGCCTCAGCTCTGCCAGTCTTTACCCGCAGGGGCACCTTCTTGAGTCAGCAGAGCGTGGAGTCCGGCACAGTTCTCTGGGCAGGGCTGTTTCCTAGACGAACGTAAGGCTGTGGCTGAAAAATGCCAGTCCCTTCTTCCCAGGTCCTGTGGCAGCGGCCTCTACAGACGAGCTCCTGTTTAGAGTCGGATTTGCTTTCTGCTTCCTAGGTGTGTGCGCTCTTGGGCTGCTCTGTGGTCTGTCTGAGCCTTACTTTCCTTATCCTGACAATGGGAAGAGTCACACCACCTCAGAGGAATGAACGTCGAACTGTATGTAAACTGGCCGCTCTGATGGTCGGTGCCCAAAGTGCTCACTGGGCTTGTCTTCCCGTGTGGTCACTGGCTCCGGTTTGTTCCAGCTGGGCCCCGGTCCCGTGGGAGCAGGATCATGAAGCTCAGCCTTGCTGGTTCCAGTCCCGGCACTGCCACTAACTCGCTGTGCAGCTCTGGGCCAGCCCATGCCTGTCTCTGGTCCCGGGCTTCCCGTCTGCAACAGGAGGTGGGTAGGCTGCATCATCTCTCCAAGGATCTGTCCAGCTCCCATGGCCTGAGGTTGTAAGTCTGACTTATTCCCGGCCTCCTTTCTCTCTTCCGGGCCCTGGCTGTCTCTTGCTCCCCTTTCTCTGTGGCCAAAGCCCCGCTCTGGAAATTTCCGTCATGGTGGTCGTATATCAGTCGCAGCACACTGAGGTCACTCCTTGGCTTCATCCTTGCGTACAGGCTCCCCACCCCTCCAGGGCCACTCCCTGGTCCCAGCCACCATCTCCCACCTGCATTACTGCCTCTGCCCAGAACCTCCCAGTGGCTTCCTGTATTACGCAGCACGAAGGCCAAAATCCTTCCCTGGGCCTCTCTTGACAAAGCTCGCGTTGCTGCCCCTGCTGGGCTAGCTCCCGCTCCCTCGCACTCCCCGCTGCAGCAGGCCACAGCTCTCCTTGCCTTCGCTCCACCTTCTGTCTGGAAAGCTCTTTCCCCAGAGATCCTCGAGACTCATCCGTTCACTTCCTCCAAGCCTTTGCTCAAAGGCCCCCTTTTCTCCTGAGGCCTGTCTCTGGCCTGTTCCCCTGTTTCATTTGCGCTGTTTATCCTCACTGTTCAAGCCCCTCGCCCTCCCAGCACTCCCATCACCCTTCCCTACCTCATTCTTCTCTGCAGCCCTTGTCACAGCCTAGAGTTTATTTCTTTGCATGTGCTCTCTTCTCATCGGTAAACCCACGGAGGCTTCCATGGGAGTCTTCCGTGTTCACTGCTGGCCCCCCAGTGCGGGGCACAGGGTAGGGCACATGCCATTTGTGGCATGGTTGGAAGAAGCTGTGTTTATCCCACCTTGGTCCTGGGTACAAGCGGGTGTTGTCACCAGGGAGCAGCAAGGAATGTCACAACCAGTGGGGCAGCGCCCCCCTTACCACCTACCAAGCTGACCGATGGCATTGTGGATGACTCGTTGGGTTGCTTTTGGCTGCCTGCTGGTGGGACCACCCCCCTTCCCCACCCTCTCCAACCCAAACCTGCTTTCTATTTTGGGGCAGGTCCCACTGTTTGCTTTGTGTCTGTAGCCCGAAATGGGGAGGCCCCTTCCCCTGCTTCCCCCCAATTCACATTCAATCGTTCATCAAGGCCTTCGGATTCTACACCATGAACATCTCCTCCATCACCGGCCTCCCAGCATCCTGCTGCCCTCTCTGCCAGCCCCTCTTGCCTTTGGATCCTGACCGCAGCTGCCGCACTGGTCTCTCTGCCTCACCTGCAGCCGGATCTGCCCCCAGGGCAAATCCCATCAAATCACTCCTCTGCCTCAACCCCCCAGCGGGGTTTGTCTACATAAAAAAATCTGTGATTTTTAAAAATTTGAGGACCTACTGGTGCCAGGTACTAGGGATCTGCAGTGAAGAAGAGCAGCAGATACTTGCTCCCCCGCAGGCAGGGATGGGCCCAGGCCCCCCGGGGTCCCAGCAGGCAGCACGGGGCTGTGAACAGAGCAGGCATGCTCTCCGTACTGTGAATAAACACACACGCCTTCTCTGACTGTTGGGCAGCAGTCTCCTCCATCCTATGCCGCATGTTCCCTTCCATGAACAGATTTCCCTGCTCATAGAAATGGACAGAAACATCTTCGTTCGGGACTTCTTCCTTCTCCTCTGTGACTTCAATCATAGAATTAATGGGAAGAAAAACAGCCATGGTGTCAAGAACACTCACACTCACTGAGCATCTCGGGCAGGTCCTTTGACATCTGTGAGCGCATCTCATTTTCATCTCCGCTCTAAAAGGCAGGACTTTGTCTCGTTTTCCAGCTGGAGGGAGCCGAGTGTCAGGAAGGTGACTTGCTCAGGTGTTGCAGCTGCAAGAGGAGCAGCTGGGATTTTAGTGGAGTTTTGTCTGACGCCAGAGCCTGTGCTGTCCACACAATTCCAGAATGAGACGATCAGAGCCGCCTTGTCCTCCGAGAGTTGATGGCAGGTGGTTGTAAATGGAAAGGCTCCGTCTGAAGCTCGGCAGAGCAGAGCAGCAGTGCACAGCACACTTTTTTTTTTTTTTTACTTAAATGGACGTAGGATCCTAATTCCTGCTGCACCTTGTTGTGTAATTTACAGCAATCCTTGAACCTTGAAACTCTGTTTTCCAGTCTGTGCAATGGGATGGTAAGACCTACCGAGGAATATTGTTGTGAGGATTGCGTGACATAAAGATGTCAAGTGCTTGGCGTGCTATTAAGCACTTAATAACACAAAGGACCGTGATGCAGGAGAGATGCTGGTTGTGGCCAGGTTGGGTGTGGTGTTTCGTGCACTACCAGTGCCCGCCTCTAGAGGGAGGAGCCAAAGAGAAGGGCCCTTGGGTTGTCCCCAGTGGTGCTGTGAACTTCAGGTCTCTAGTGACTCCACGGCACTTTGGCCAGACCAAGAAAGATCAGTGAGGTCACCCAGGAAGGCTCTGGATCTGTAGGGGCAGTTTGGCGCAGGTGGGGAATATGGGACACGCAGAAACAGTCGGATCAAGGCACAGGAGGGGTAGTCATTGCTTCTTGTAGCAAAAATGAATAGGTATCCAGGAAGGGTGGGGACATTGTCCTTTCTAATAGAGAGAAATTACCCTCTCCTGCTTTTAAGGTCTGACCTTGCCTCATTCACTTGCAGCTGCAGAGTGGACAGGAAGCTGTCTGTGATGTCACAGAGCTAGGGAGCCAGGGAACGTTGAGGAGATGGGGAGGGGGGCGGTGTTGGACTGGACCACAAAGATAGGGAGGAGGAGGACGTCTTCTGACCCTCTCTGCAGTGGTCCGTCCCTTTGTCCACAGTGTCGTGCTGTCTCCTGTGCCATTCGGGTCTGCTGGAGTGGTCCTTGCAAATCTCTTATCCCTTTGGATCCTTAGGCTAGCCAGGCATGTTCTTCTCACCCGCGTGCTAGAGGCAAGATGCAGCAAGCCCCACTGTGAAAACACATGTCTAAGCCCCTGCTTGTTTCCCACCTGCTAAGTTTCCGTTGGCCAAGCAAGTCACATGACAGGATATGGCAAAAGAGGGAGGAGAATTGGGGACAACATGCCACTCTGCCACAGGGAGATACCATTACTGTGTCCATTGACAGAAGAGAAAACTGAGGCACGGAGAGTTTATTAGGTATCTTGGCCAAGGTGACACAGCTAGTGAATGGCAGAGTGAGGATGGTTCAGGGGCTGAGGCACTTTAAAGATTCAGGGTGGACACTGTCCAATTGCTTTATGAGTGGCTTGTACCAATTTAGCTCCTTCTCCACTAGGAAGGGAATGGTGGGGCCTGACCTGCTGTCACCTCCCCGCCTGTCCTGGCCTCTGTGATGTGGTGGCACAAACCTGCCCCAGAGCTGGGCTGCAGATCCCTCCCCATGGGATTAGACATGGCCCACCCAGATAATTGGGGGTGATGTCCTATCTCAAAGTTACTGAGTAGCGACCTTCATTGGATCTACAACCTTAATCTCCTTTTGCAAAGAAAAGTAACATGTTCTCAGGAATAGGATGAAAACATGTCTTTTTTTTTTTTTTGGTGGATGGTGAGGAGGTCATTATTCTGCCTACCGAATAGTCTTTAAATACTTGTGTCAAGAAAATAAGAGAATGAAATAAATGACCAATTCAAAAAGCTAGAAAAAGAACAACAAAGTGACCAAAAGAATATATAAGATTAAAAATAGAAATTTCTAGAGTATAGAAAAACAGTAGATCTAATTAACAAATCAAAAACTTTTTGGAAAAAAGTAACAAAATAGAAATACTATGTAGCTTAATCAGGAAAAAGAGGGAGAAAGCACAAATATGTAAAATTGGAAAGGATAAGGGGAGGCTAACCATTGAAATAAAATAAAATTTAAAAATGTTTAAAAATGTTTAAATTTAAAAATTAAAAAAAAATTAATTTTAAATTAAAAATTTAAATTTAAATTAAAATATTTGAATTTAAAAATTTAAAAATGTTTTATATACCTTTATGCAAATAAATTTGAAAAACTATACGGAGTGGATAATTTCCTGGAAAAATACTGCTTATCAAATTGACTGCATTAATGATAGAAAACTCTATAAATTTCTATAGAAGAAATAGAGAAATTTATTAAGGAACTTTCCTCCCTCAAATAGGCAACAGGCCCAGATGGTTTTACAGGGAATTCTATTAAGCTTTCAAGACCAGATAGTTCAATACTACATAAATTGTTCTAGAGCATATAAAAGAAAACTTCCAAATTCTTTTTGTGAAGCAGGTATATAATATTGATAACTACATCTGATAGGGACAATGCAGAAAAGAAAATTACAAGCAATATCATGTATCAATATTGGTACAAAAAATACTAAATAAAATATTAGTGAACAGAATCCAACCCCATATTATTAAGATAATACATAATGCTTAGGTGGAATTTGTTTGTGGAATGGAAATTTAATTCAATATGAGGAGAGAAATTATATGATTTTTTTCCTTTATAGATGCTGGAAAAAAGAAGAGGAAATTGATGGATATTTTATTAACATGATAAAATAGCTTTCTCTCTCTCTCTAGCTTTGTCCTAAATGCAGCTTCTTACTTAATGCACAAACACGAGAGCTATTTCCTTTACAATCAGGAACAAAGCACAGATATCTACTTTCTTCACTACTTAACATTGTACTGGTGACATTAACCATTGCAATTAGATAAGATAAATCAGTTAGAGACATAAAAATTAGAAAGAGCAGAAGCTAAAGTAATTCTACTTACAGATGAGATAATAGGAATGCTGGTAGCCATAGGAAGTCAATGACAAAACTGACACACAATAAAAGAATTCAGAAGGGAAGCAAGGTATAAAATTAACATACTGAACTCAACAGTGTTAATATACATAAGCAATAACTAATTACAGCCATAATGATAGAGAAAACTCCATTTACAATAGCAACAAAAAAGATAAAATAGAAATACATTTAATAAGCAATTTGCAAAATTAATATGAAAGCTATTTAAAAATAGCCCTGAAAGACAAAAAAGTAGGTTTGAACAAATGAAAAGCCATTTGTTTGTGGATAGGGACTGATACATAGATGTGTCGGTTCTTCCTACTTTATAATTTTCCCTAGGTTAATTTATAAATTTAGCTTAATCACAATGAAAATACCATCAGAATTTTTTTTATGGAGCTAGGCCAATTGATACTAACATTTACATTAAAAAAATAAACATGCAAGAATAAAACAAGGTGGTACTATAGATGAAGAGGCAGACCTTCCAGTGAAATAGAATAGAAAGTTCAGAAAGAGACCCAAATACATGTGAAAATCTAGTATATGATAATAAAGGTGTCATCTCAAATGACTGGGCCAAAGATGTTCTCTTTAATAGATGTGCTGGAATGTCTATATATTCATTTGAAAACAGGATAAAATTAGATCCATATTTCCTAAATCCTTAATAATAAATGCTAAATGGATAGGGTATAAATATATATTTAAAAACCATAGAAACAAACAAGGAAATATAGGTGAATTCCTCTATAAACTATTTGTAGGGAAAGGCTTTCTAACAATAACCCCAAATCCAGATGCAATAAAAGATTAATACATTGGACTGTGAGGAACTACTATTCCTAACATCTAAACAACACTTAAAAATTAAGGGCAAAAACAATAAAAATATGTAGAAGACATGAACAAGTAATGCATAAAAACATAAAAATGGCCCTTAAACATATGAAAAAATGTTAATCTTTACTCATGGTAACAGAAATGCAAATTAAAACTAAAATGATATATCATTTTTTACCTATAGATTGGCAGAAGTTAAAAAGTTGCTGAAAGTGTGGGGAGACAGGTACTCTTGGATATGCAACTCTTATGGAAGAGAATTTGGCAACATCTAACAAAGCTGTATATGTTTTTTCTGTTTGGCTGAAAAGTTCATGCTTAGGAATTAGAGCTCAAGGTACATCACCACAAAATATGTGCACACAAGGTTATTCATTGCAGCATCATCTGTAATTGCAAAATATTGAAAACAATCGAAATGCCCTTATAGAGGAGAGAGATTGAATAAACTATGAGCCAGCCATATAGTGCGGAACTAAGCAATGCATAAAAAGAATGAAGAGCTTTGTGAATTCATAAAAAGTAATTTCCAGAATATATTAAGTTAAAAAGAGCTGAGTAGAAAATAGTGTCTATAGTATGCCACCTTTTGTGTAAGAAAGAAGGGGAAATAAAAGCTATTTATGCATTTGCTTATTTTTATAAAAAGAAACAGGAAGAATAAACCAGAAACCATAGTGCGTGGGCACAGGGTGGAAGGGTTTGGTGGGAGAGCGACACTTCCGTGTATGTAACTTTTTGTATTATTTTGACTTTTGGAACCAGGTTAATGTTTTATATAGTAAAAAAAGTAAATCAACAAAGATGGGAGGAAAAAAATGTCCTAAAATTAAATACAAACAGAAGTCAATGTACCAACTATTTCAAACGACTAATATAACTGTGATAAGAAAAAAGAAAGTAACTCAGCAATTTTTTTTTTTAATTTTTTTTTTTTAAAGCTAGTCAAGCGTGGTTGTGGGGGGATACAATGTTAAATCAGCTTAACAATAACCCACAACCCTCGGACCAACTAACTCAGCAATTTTTGAGGGCAGTTTTTGGCTATAAGTCTTTTATCAGTAGACAATAAGGTCTGCAGCTATTCTGAAACTAATTTCTGTATATTCCAGAGTTGAGCAACTATATTGAGGATAATAGGATTCAGGTCTTTCATGGAGAAAGGAATTGCAAATATGAAAAGAGGAACAACTAGCATAAATCCTGTAGTGTTGGATTGGATTGGAGATATCAGTATGAGCTACTGGCTTTTATTATTGCTTTCCCTAGTTCTCTCTGTGTGTACATATATTATGTATACTATATTATGTATACTAGTATTATGTATACTATATAGTTCTCTCTGTGTGTACATATATTATGTACACAATATAGTATACATATATTATGTATACTATATACATATATTATGTATACTATATACATTATATAGTATACATATATTATGTATACTATATTGTGTACATAATATATGTACACAATATATGTGTACATATATTATGTATACACATTGCAATATTTAGGGGGCAAGGGGCATGGTGCGCACAACACACTCTCAGGTGGTTCGGAGAAAAAACATATGTATACTATGTATACTATGTTTGTGTGTGTGTTTGTGCATTTCCTAGCTCTATGCACTGAAAAGGGCTAAAAGCATCCACACCCCAGTAACAATGAGCACACCTAGCACCAAGATCTTGGTTTCTAAATACGGTTCTTCCCTAAGAAGGACCAAGGCTCCTTGAAGAAGTGGCTGATTCTAGGGGTGAGATTGTATGCCAAAAAGTGATGGGCATATGTCAAAACACAGAAGTGAGCTTCAAGAGGGTTCCCACTGGTCAAATCTGGGGCATTTTGAACATCAAAATAAATCACAGTAAAGGATTATAGCCCATTTAATAAAACAAAGATTCCATGAGTCTAAACTTGCATAAACAAACATATAAATAAATAATGGGGAAGGAGGAAAGCTTTTCCTTATAGTAGAGGATTAACTACTGAATGGAGAAGGAATGGTAGAGTTAGAAAAATCACCCTTTGGCAAATAATAATTGATTCTGGCAAGAATGACTTATGGATGCTTTAGTTAGTGGGTGAAAGTTTAATGAGGAACAGGATATTCACGGAGTCTCAAAGTATCCCCCTCCCAAATTACTTATTAGTTACAAAGTGGAAAATAACAACTTGCGGTGGGGAGGGGCAGCAGCAGGCTCCACCTCAACTGGGTGATCTGGGCTACCACACCTGTCATGGGACCTGCCTACAGCAGGTGCCTCCGGATACGATGCAGGAGGGAGGACTCCATCTGGCTTCTGTGGCATTCCTGCCCCTGGTGGAAAACATGAATCTCATAATAAGGAATCATCAGATAAACCCAAATCGAGGGACATTTTATAAAACAATCATGCTCCTATGCTTCAGAAACGTGAAGCTCATGAATGACGAAGACAGAACTGTTCCAGGCTAAAGGAGACCACAGAGATACGACAACTACATGCGATTCGTGATCTTGGATTGGGTCCTAGACTGAGCAAAAAGGTAGCTATCGGACATTTTTGGGGACAGTTGACGACATTTGAATGGTACTTGTATCAATGCCCAATTTATTGCTTTTGATGACTGTACTGTAGTTGTGTAAGAGAACGTGCTTGTTCCTGGGAAACACACATTGCAATATTTAGGGGGCAAGGGGCATGATGCGCACAACACACTCTCAGGTGGTTCGGAGAAAAAATAGAGAGAGAATAATGATGAAACAAATGGGAGACAATGTAAACAACTAGTGAAACTAGGTAAAGGTAAATGGGACTTCTTTGTGTTATTCTGGCAACTTTTCTGTGTGTTTGAAATTATTTCAGAAGCTATCCAGAAGGTGGAAACATTCTTCTTAGGTTAGTTAGATGTGACACTATATTTAAAAAGGATAAGACACTGTTTGGAAGAGGCACTCCCTAGTGAGTAGGAGGGGAGAAGAAGAGGGAGGGACACAGTCCTCTGCTCTGACCAAGGACTTTAATTAGAGGCAGATCCTCTCACAGTGGCTTTTTCAGGGGCTGGCGGGACTCTTGGTGGTGGCACAAGGATGCCTCAGACGTCTTCTCCTCCTCCAGGGGAGTTTCTGAATCAGTCTTCATGACTCCTGTCCACTCTCCTCTCTCCTCCTCCTCCTCCTCCATGTCCTCCATTCTCCTCCGGGAGGCTCTTCTGCAGCCGAGTGTATGCAGTGAACGACATGGGTGCTGTTAGCTAGAAGCCTCAGGGCCTCCCAATGAAGCACGTCTGGAATGGCCAGCGCTCCTGGGAGTAGCGATCTAGGTTCCTCTTGTAGAAATTGCCCGAGGAAGTTCGTGTATACAGATCTGAAAGGAGAGAGGAAATAATGATGCTAGGGTGAAGGCCTTGGAGTTAGGCTTCTTGGATGAACTGTCCTGGTCGTTGGTATCCATCTCTGATCATTCCTGAGATTCATGAACCCTGTGGGAGCCAAGGTGGACCCCAGCCTAGGACTTGGAAGTCCTTTGTGATAGGAGTTTCTTGCAATGGGTTTTGCCTTGTATGACACTGGTGGCTTCAGTGATGGCAGTGTCTGGCAAGGCACAGTGGCACGGAAAGGAGAATCCTGGCTCTGACACTAACGTCGGTTCCCAGTGCACTTGTGGCAAGTCCCCTCCCCTCTGTGGGCCTCAGCCCTGTGGGGGTGGCAAAGGCAGAGGGAAGGATGGGCAAGCTAGTGGGACTCCTAGCTCCCTACCCTCAACTTAAGTAGAGCAGGTCCCCTTTGATATTTTGCAGAAACTGGACTGTGGGTGAGATTTTGTTTGTAAGGAGGGTTTAACTCTTAAGGTGACTGGGCTGGATGATCCTTATCTCTCTACAGCCTGGCCTCCTGCGGTGTTTGTGGGCTATGTGAGGTCACCTGGGCACAGAATCAGTGCCCAGTAACGTGGCTGCATTTCTTCTTCCTGGGCCGTGCCACTGCCCTGAGATTGGGCATCTGTCCTTCCATGGCCCAGAGGCATTTTGGCCCCAGCTGAACTATGCTCAATCCACAAGCATTTCCTGGCATTGTTTAGTTGCCTTGCGCCTGGCTGGATTGGAAGGAACAACAGGGAACAAAACCAATGGGAGCTCTTTTGGAACTTACTGTCTAGTGGCCAAAGTAGACATCACACAAACGTACAAAAATTACACATGCAAGATGATGCCACAAAGGGCTTAGGAGGAAAGTATGGATGTGTATTCTTTCCGCCCTAGACCTTCTCCTCCTCATGCACCTCCTAGCTTGGAGAATCACGGAATTGGGTCTTAGACTCCTGGAGTCTCTCCAGTGTGTTCTGGAACACGACTGCAGCTGCCAAATGGGAGTGGTCCCATCTCTCCTGTCATCCCACTCGGCTAATATCAATGGGGCCTGTCGTGAGGATGAGGTCCCCCTCCCCTTCCCAGGGGTTCCTGGTCAGCGTTAGCACCTGCATCTGGGACTTACCCTTAAAATCACTGCTGGTTAAGGAAGCTGTCTGTTTTGGACGGATCAGGGGTTGTCCTGAAGGCAGGCGGGAGGTTCCTTTAGCATGCTCGGGGGTTTGTCCACCAGGCACATTCTTCTGAAGCCGTCTATCTAGCGAGGAGAATGCCACAGGGTCAGGTGGGGCAGCTCAGATGAGCAGTGCACATGAGAAAGCGGTGGTTATTATGGGGTGGGACTGTACCTGAATCTACCTCCTCCCGTCCCTGACGGCTTCTCCTCATAAGCAGATGTTGCATTCAAAATATGCATTCATTTTAAACACTGACTTTTTTTTCTATTTATAAATGTATCATGATAGAAAAAATTAAGAAATATTGAATCATATGGAGTAGGAAAAAAATGCCCCTAAACATCCCTCTTTCCAGATATTATCACAGTTCTAGCCTTCTTGCTCTGTGGCAGGGTCGAGATTTGATCTAGCATGTACAGCTCCAAAGGCAGGGCTATTAACCACTGTCTTTCTACTCTTTAGTCCAGGGCTTCTCAAACTATAACGTACATTCAAATTTACCTGGAGATCATGTCTCCAGGTATGGTTTTGATTCCATAGGTCTGGAGCAGGTCTGAAAATGCATTTCTAACAAGCTCCCAAGTGGTGCTGACATTGCTAGTTCATGGACAACACTTTCAGTATAAGGCTTTCAACTCTCCTGTTTGTTAGTTTGGGTACCTAGCCACCCAACCCCCCCCCCTCGTTTTTAAGTTGTAATTATCACTCCAAAGAGGCAGGAAGTCTGGAGGTATCTTAGCAGGGGAGGAATGAACAAACTGGGGTCTAGAGAGGCCACACAGTGTGTTCTTATCTGGTACCTACCATGGGCTGGTGGCTGATGCCCTTGGATTTGGTTGGGATCATTGCAGTTGCTGATGACGCAGGACTCCTCACACTCTCTGCAGCATAAACAGAAGATCTTCCAGGCCGAACTTTGGTTGGCTGCTGTGGGAGGGAAAGGAATGGTGGCCATGAGTGTTGGGGCCGGAATTCCAGATGCCTGTTGGAAATTGACTGTGGTGTGGGACACAGTGGGTCTCCTCCCCTGAGGCTTAATACTCCTCCCCTCTCCCAAATCTTCTGCAGCTCGCCATGGCCAGGAGGTCCAGGCCCTTCTGCCCAGGCTGCCCTGGGCTGCCATTTTCAATATTCTATGCAAAATTTTCTTACCCATGGAAAGGAGTTGAAGCCTCTACTCTGCCACCTTTGTCTGTAGAAGTGCTTTCTTGTTGAGTGAGCCGATCTTAAATTTGAGCCCAGTTCATTGGACAGGGCTGTTACCTAAATAGATGTAAGACCACAGCTGAACAATGTTAGTTGTTTATCTGTATTCACACTCCAGATAGGATCCAACTATAGCGAAATCCCAGCTCATGCAGAAATGCACATAAACATACTCAGGTATTTTAGATGGATCTGTGCCCTACCCCATTTCTAGGTGCATGTTCTTGGGTAGATTCTGTACCCTTTTTCAGCCTCACTTGTCATGTGGAAAATGAGAATGGAAGTGCCTACTTTGCAGAAGGAAAGGGTTAAACACATGAAAAATGACCCCTATGGTGCCAGGTATACAATAAGCGCTCAGTCAATGGTCATTCCATTTTCCCCATTGGCTTCAAATTATCCCAGCTGTTCCAGGTCCCATGAGGAAGCACATAGTCTTATGGATTTAAATCCTGGTTTTGTCACTAACTTGCTGTATGGCCTTGGGTAAGTTCATGCTTGTTTCTGTGTCTCGTGCTCCTTATCAGTAATAAGAGGAAGTTAGACTAGACATCTCTTCAAGAATCTTTCTAGTTCTGAGAGTCCAGAATGATAAGACGATGTTCTACTCCCAGTCTTCTTTCCAGATCTTTGGATACATCTTGTTCTCACTCCCCTTTTTGTGGCAGAGCCACCTTTTAGGAAATTCTTATCATGGTATTGGTTAGGTGCTTCTCGCAACACACAATTCACTATGTAAGTTGCTTCCCTCAATAGGCACTTACTTTTCACTTTCTCCACTGCTGTATCCTGGCCAGAGCCATCATCTCCTGCCTGAATTATTACCATACCCTCTTACCTGGTCTCCCTGTTTCTTTTACCCTTGACCCCCTTAATAATTAATACAAAAGTTGGGGTAGTTCTGTTAAAATGTGTTTTGTTACCCTTCTGCTCAAAACTTCCAATTGGATATAATAGATGAAGAAATATAGTATTGAAGTAAGAAATTAAAACTCTGAAATAGAATCAAATAGAAATTCTAATTCTGTAAAAACCAATATCTGAAGGAAAAGTATATTGGATAGGATTAACAACAGACTAGACAAAGCAGAAGAAATGATCAGTGAACTTGAAAAAAGTTTAATAGAAATTATCCAAACTGAACCAGAAAGAGAAAAAAGACTTAAAAAGCATGAAAGGAGCAGGAGTGACTTGAAGGTTACTACCAAGCCGACTAACATACATTTATAGACATGTATACAGAACATACCTCAGAAGGATAGGGTCAGCAAAAATATTTCAAGCAATAATGGCTGTAAGTTTTCCAAATTTGATGGAAAGAATCTATGTAAGTACTCAGTGAGCACTAAACATAAAAAAAAAAAAAAATAAAGACACATTATCATCAAATTGCTAAAAATTAAAGAGTAAGATCTTAAAAGCAACCAGAATAAATAAAAGCACCACACATTGGGAAACAGGACAAGAACGACAGCTGATTTTGCATCAGAAACAATGCATACTAAAAGACAATGGAGGGGGGAAAAAAGAAAATGAAGTAAAAAGTTCTGAAAGAAAAAAAAGAACTTGTAAACCCAGAACTTCATTTCAATGAGAATATCCTTCAATAATTAAGGCAAAATGAAGACATTTTAAGATAATAAAAAATGAAGAGAATTTGTCTTTAGGAGACACAGGCTATAAAAACATGCTAAAAGACTGAAGGAAAATGATACCAGAGGGAATTCATAGCTACAGAAAGGGATGAAGAGGATAAAGGATGAAGAGGAAATGGTAAACGTGGGGATAAATGCAAAAGTTTTTTTTTTTTTCTTTTAGTTCTTTAGTTCCTCCTCCCCCCAGTAAGGTAAAGTGGTTTACCTTATTCCTCAGATGAAAACCCAGAGTTCTTACCTGGGTCTTAAGATGCTCTAATCATCATCCTTCCCTCCCTCCCACCCCTCACCACCACCACCACCACCCCTAGCCACCGCCACCACCTGCTCTCTGCCTTCAAGTTCTGCTACTCTCCCCAATTCCATTCGAGTCACAATGGCCTCTTTGCTAAATTTTAAAACACACCAAGTTCTCAACTCAGGAATTTGTGCTTGTTTTCCCCTCTTCCTGGAATGCTGTTCTCTTAGACAACTACATTTTGCCATTACCTTCAAGGCTTTGCTTAAATGCTACCTTTTCTACTGAGAGTTTTTTTGTCCACTGTATTTAAAATTGCACTTCCTTGCCCAACACTTCCTAACCCCCTTCCCCATTTACTTTTCTCTATCATTTTATAACACTCTATATAATTTGCTTGCTTACTATATTTGTGGTTATGCTTCTCCCCATTAAATTATAAGGCACTAGATTATAGGCCATGGATTCCATCTGTTTGGTTTATTGCTCTATTCTCAATGCCTTGAACAGTACCTACCATGGTGTGGGCAGTCAATAAATGTTTGTTGAGTAAATGATCAAACAAGCATTTATTCCTCTTTTGTCTCATGTGAAAGCATTTGCAGGCACTGGGGGTAGTAAAGAATTGGGTGGTAATTTTTGTGCCAAGAACATCACAACCCATAGGACACAGCTTACCTCACTCATGGGCTAAGCTGCTTCTGATGGTTTCATGAGTCAATTTTAGTTCTGCTCTCTGTTTACTGGTTGGGGTAATTTTCCTTCCCCATCTACTGCAAACCAAATCTATTTGCCTTCTTCCCATGTTCCCTATTTGGCAGAATGATCTTATGATTCACTTTGTCTCCAGAGCCAGAAACCTGCCAGGCTCCTACCATCGTCCCACATTCATCAGTCTTTTGACTTTACTTTCCACGTATCTCTTCAATCTGTCTGCTCACTGCCTGGCCATTGCTCTCACCATGGCGGAAGCCACCATCGCCTCTCACCTGGACCACTGCCGAAACTTTCTCACTGGCTTGTTTGCTTCCACTAGGCCGATTAGATCAAGAATTTTGTTTTGGAGATGCTCCATTTAGCAAAGATACAGTTATCTGGTTCTATGTAAATTCCATAATATCATGCCTCTGCCTCAAATCCTTCAGGGGCTCCCCAAGTCTGTGGATCCAACTCCTTTTGTGATCACCAGTGTAGGTCTCTTCAGCCTCATCATCTCCTGGGTGCACTCACTACTGTACAGCCACAAGAGATGCTGTTTAGGCACTTCCCATTTGACTAAATGGAGCCTGTTCACATACTGTTCCCTCCATCTGGGGTGTTCTCACCTCAATCCTGCACTCATCAAACTTCAGTACTCAGCCCAGTGGTTACAGGAAGCCATCTCTCAGTTGTGGGATGGGTTAGGGGTCCCTCCTTTGTGATCCCACAATACTCACCTCCCACCATGTTTTCCTGTATCACAGGCGTTTATAGTACTGTGACTGCCTAACTTGTGGTAAATGCTCAAAAAATACTTGCTGAAAACATTGTATTGTAACTGCCTATTTAGTTGTCACCAGTCTGGATACTAGTCCTTGAGCTTTCTTTCATTTATTTAGCATATATATATATATATATATATTTTTTTTTTGAGACAGAGTCTCACTTTGTTGCCCAGGCTAGAGTGAGTGCCATGGCATCAGCGTAGCTCACAGCAACCTCAAACTCCTGGGCTCAATTGATCCTACTGCCTCAGCCTCCCAAGTAGCTAGGACTATAGGCATACGCCACCATGCCTGGCTAATTTTTTCTATATATATTTTTAGTTGTCTAGCTAATTTTTTTCTATATATTTTTTTTAGTATAGATGGGGTCTTGCTCTTGCTCAGGCTGGTTTCGAACTCCTGACCTTGAGCGATCTGCCTGCCTCGGCCTCCCAGAGTGCTAGGATTACAGGTGTGAGCCACCGTGCCTGGCCTATTTAGCATATATTTATTGAGCACCTACTATGTGCCAGGTAATGTTAGATGCTGGAGATACAGCAGTGAACAAGATACTAGATAAATGCCCCACTCACGTGGAGGAAGGTTCAGTGTTCTATTCACCTTTGTATCCCCAGCACTAAGACCAGGCATGGACACAGAATAGGTGCTTTATAATAAATATTTACTCTGACTGCTGGATACAAACTGTATGCCCAATAGATCTTTCTCTCTTCCACTAACTGATCTTTAACTTCCTGCACATGAGCTGTTCATTGTGGTCAGGTACATCCAGTGGGCTAGACACACACAGATGTCCCCATTGTGTGAGAGCCTTGGACCGAGTGGGGGAGGGGCACTCGCTGGGTCCCTTTAGCCCCAATCTCCAGTAGTCTTTTGGATCTGATGCCAGGTGGGTTTTTCAACACGATTTGAGCTCTGATATATTTCATTGACCTCTCTTTAATGGATCTATTTTATTTTTCTAGGATTTATCAACAAATAGAAATTTATGTAAGGCAGTTAGATGTTTTGTGTTGGAGATGCTCCATTTAGCAAATATCCTTGCCATTAATCTGCTTATTCTTCTACTATTTGCTTTAGTTTCAATTTTCTTCATCCACTTAAACACACACTTGCCTTACGGGGTTTTGCTTTTTTCCAGACTGCCTTGTGTCTGCTGAATATAGAAGGAAGGGCTTCCTAAGGATGGAACGGAGCATGGGTCTGGCAGTGCACCACCTGTCAGCCTCAAAAACTAGTGGCTAGAGTTCTGTTAGACTGGTGACTGATTTGCCTATGGGAAATTGCTAAAACTTGGACTGGGGTCCCCCAAAACCTTCATGAGCACCTGTTCTTATTAAATCACAAAAGAAGGTTGCTTTACATATCCTATATTCTGGAAGCGACAATGTCCTGGTCATTGATCATTGGCCTCTCTTAGGCTCTGCTTGGCCAAGGGGCTCAAGACACCGTACATCAATCAGTCCAAACTTTTGGCCACTGTAGTGTACTCTTTTCTGTTTGTCATGGTTTCACCTCTATTAAATTTTCTGCCTCTTTCTGGAAAAACTCCTGCTTCGTATATTTATTCCCACTATATGTACTCTCATGCGCTTACCTTAATAAATGGCCAAATTTTACTAGATGATTATGATTACCTAGACGATTTAGGTAATCCTAGATGATTTAGGATTACCATGGGCATTATGAAAAACTTTTTATGTCAAAAATAAGAGATTTAAGAGGAACTCTAGAAAAGAGAGAAGACAAAAATGCCAAACATTCAATAGAGGGCTTCTTTGATTGGCATGCTCTGGCTTCGGAAAGAAAGAAAAATAAAAAAGAAAGATCTTATTCCTACTCCAACCTTCTGACACCTACTGTCTTTGCCTTTCTCTTTCTCTCTCCATTCAACTTGATCTTTACCACCCACGTATACCCTTCCCATTCCTTCCCCAGGCTGCCTAAGTAAACTTTCTTCAGGGAGCATGTTTCTAGAAAAGAACAATCACATTGCACAACACCTCCCTAAAACTCCTGCTCTGGAGGTGAACCCAGGGTGGTTGAATTTAAACCCTGGGTAACAGTTGAGTGCAAATACTTAGAATCTCCCCAAATTTCAGGACAATAGGAAATTGCTGTATACTTCAAGATTCTGCTAGTTACTTATTTCCCTGGACTATCTATCATATTTATACCAATTAGTTCATTTCATTGTTGACCTTCAATATGTAGAAAAATGTTTAAAAGCAGCAGGATGAAAAAGATCAGAAGATTTAAATAGCCCACTTATTCATAATTTTTAAAAAATGGACTTGAGAAGGTAAAAATAGGAAGCACACCACATGAAACTATTTCAAAAGCTTTTCTCTTGAGAGAAGATTGGTCAAGGATTCAAAATTACAAACAAAATTGAAGATGAATTGATAGGATAGGTGACTTAGACTTCAGGGTACTTTCACAGAACATTCTGGGGCCAACCAAGAATTTAAAGAGCCCACACCCTGACCAATGTAACATCCTTAGCTTAATTATGGGTCATAGACTACCTTTGGATTTTATTTTCGCTAATCAGGGTGGTCTGCACCATTGCTAACACTTCATGTGGTACCTGGATTAATTCCACAGGTGAGGTTAATCTGTAGCTAAGCCAAAAGAAAAAGCAATCTGGCTATCTAAGTAGACGGCCATACCTAGGAAACCATGGATCATGATTCTAGAGAGCCTTTCAATTTCTTCTTAAAATACTTTTAATTATTATTGTTTGTCTCACAACATTCAGTTTCTCTCATTCGGAGAGCTGAATGCTTTAATGCAGCCTCGGGTCCAACAGATGGTGTAACAGATGATTCAAACAAAAACAAGGCCGGCCGCGGTGGCTCATGGCTGTAATCCTAGCATTCTAGGAGGCCGAGGCAGGAGGATCTCTTGAGCTAAGGAATTTGAGATCAGCCTGAGCAAGAATGAGACCCCCATCTCTACTAAAAATAGAAAAATTAGCCAGGCATGGTGGCTCACATCTGTAGTCCTAGCTATTCAGGAGGCTGAGGCAGGAGGATTGCTTGAGCCCAGGAGTTTGAGGTTGCTGTGAGCTATGATGATGCCACTGCACTCTACCTAGGGAGACAGAGGGAGACCCCGTCTCAAAAAAAAAAAAAAGGAGGAAGAAATCAGGCCGATTGATATTCAAGATACTCAAGGTAATAACCAGATCTCTGCAGATGGAAAAATGGAACTGTGTTTTCAAAGAAAGCCGATGAAGGTGGTGAAAATCTGGACAATATTGAAATGTCTTTCCTGCAGCTTTGGTTTAGGAAGGACCAAAAGGTGGAGAATGAAGGAGGAGAATAAAAAGGGAGGCTCTCACATTCCTAGGTAAATACTGATCGCCCTGTACCATGGTAACAGGCAATCACTAGAACCTGTGCTAAACCCATTTACTCTACTAATGAAACTTTGCCTCAGCGACCATTCTCCTGAAAATAACAGACACATGCCGGTGTCTGTTTACACTTCACAGGTAAAGGTGTGCCATTCCTAAGCACTCCTGCCTCTGAAATACCACCGTGCCATCAACTCGACACCTCCCCAGACCCCTTACATACCAGCCATTAGCTCCGTTCGGAGACTGCCATGGAAGCAGCTTCCCCCTGTTTCACCAGAAATACTGGGTACAATGAACACTAATCTGGTAACGGGTACTCTTAAGCAAGGTATCCCCGTAACAAAAGCATTTGTACCCTCTTAATATGTTGAAATAAAAAAAAAAGCAATGTAAACGAGGATGCTGATGCTGTCAAGATGTCGGGGAGATGCCGAGGAGGGGGTGTGGCGTTCCTTGCACTACCAGTGCCCCCCTCTAGAGGGAAGCAGGCACCAAAGAGAAAGGCCCTTAGGCTGTCCCTAGTGGGCTGTGAACTTCAGGTCTCCAGCAACCCAACCCCATGGCAGGCAGTTCGGCCCGAACGAGAAAGGTCAGTGAGGTCACACAGGAAGGCTTCTGGGTCGCTAGGGGCAGTTTGGCACAGTTTGGAGACTGGGACCCAGACAGAGAAACAGTGGGGTCAAGGCAAATGAGGGGTGGTCACTGCTTCTTGCAGCAGAATGCATAGGTTTCTAGGAGGGGTGGAGACACTGTCCCTTCTAACACAGAGAAATTACTCCCTCCTGCTCTTGAGGGCTAACCTTGCCTCACTCACTTGCAGCTGCAGAGTGGACAGGAGGAGGCTGTCTGTGACGTCACAGAGCTGGGGCGCCAGGGAATGTTGAGGGAATGCGGGTGGGTGGGTGGGTGGACTGGCCCACAAAGGCAGGGAAGGGGACGACGTCCGCTGACCACGATGCTGCGTGTCCACCCGGCTGCTCATCTGGGAAGGAGTCCTGGAGCCTCTTGCGAAAGCACGCCGCGGTCGGCCCTGCCAGCAGGGGGCGGTGCAGCACTGGGCGCGGACGACGTCGGGGCGATGCTGAGGACGCGGGTGGTGCTTCTTGCACTTCCAGTTCCCGCCTCTAGAGGGAAGGAGCCTGGGGGAGACCGGGGCTGGGGGTTGGACTTGGGCCACGGTCTGCCTCTGTCCACCCGAATTCTCCCTCTGCAAAATGAGAATCATAATAATTACATATCCAATATGTATTTTTTAGGATGAGATGAGATCACGTAGACAAACATTTAACCTGGTGGCTAGATGTAGTAAACACTCCGAGAAAGGGTTAATGTGTGCAAAAATAAAGTGACATTTTCTTCCCAATCTATATTTCAGAAAAGGGGGGGGATCATTTTACATTGGAGCCCTGACAAAATCTCCAACCTTATGGGGGCTGCTCTTTCAATTCCTTTATTGAAGACAACCAAGGACTATTTGGGAAAGCCTAATTCGGTTAAAATGTTCTCAATCAGTGCTATCTTTGGATGCTCACCGGATACAATAGAAGCAGAAGAAAGCAAAGAAATTCAGCACAGTTTTGGGGTCACTGGGGTGATGCAGGAGAGCGATGTGACCTTATCGTCGTCAAGTATTTGCTGATGGGCTAAACAGTCTTTAAAAGCTCACCTGTAAAGCAACACTCCTAAGTGGTAACACTGAAGGTCCTCTATTCTGGCTGCAATTGAAATTCTCTGGAAGTGCTTTAAAAACGAACAATGCCTGGGGCCCAGCTGCAGATAAATCAGAATGTGTGGGGCGGGGTGGATGCTGGGAAGCAGTATGTTTACAGAGTTTTCCAGGTGATTCTTGTGTGTAACCAAGGACTGCTAATTCCCACCGTGGGAACACTAATCCTACACATAAGTGCTGGTGCTCAACTCGGGCCTAGCTTTAAAATCGCCGGAGGAACTTTGGAAATGCTACTCCCGGCACCAGCTCCAGGTCAGTAAAAGTCACTATTTTGGGGGCCAGGGCCCAGGCACTGCTAGATTTTAAAGCTCTCCAGATGCTTTTAATTCACAGCCAGGGCTGAGCACCACTGACTTACAGAGCAAATTTTTAAAAATCCTTAATTTTCTTTATGTGATGCAAATGGATCCTTTTAGTTCAGGATCAGCTTTTCAAGAACAGTGTATATGTGGCTTCAAAAGCACTATTTTAAAAATAACTTAGAAATGAAGATGATATACTCTGGAAACTTGCGTTAGGTGAAAACTGTGAACATACTGATGTTAAAGATCTGTGTGAAGCATTTGAATGAAATTCCTTTAGAAAGGGGGAGAGCGACGGTAGCAATACAGGTGTTTCCAAATTAATACAGTTTATATAATATGCCATTGTAAACGCATGTTGGGGATCGAATACTTGCAAGTCGATGCTTGGCTATTTCACCAATAGCAATAAACATTTGTATATTCAAGTTGGCCAAAATCCTTAAAATCTTTGCATGAGGAAACTGGGGTCTTGCCTTCTGTTTGGGGCTGCTTACCATTCAAGCATGTATGGCGTGGTTACTTTCTTCCCCTTGGGTCTGGGAGGAGAGATGGGTGAGCAGGCTTCTGTATTAATATCTGGTTAGGGTAGAGAAGTATAAAATCTTGACCTGAGGCACTGGGCTAAGATGAGTGGGTGGATTTTGAGTTTGCTGATTTCACAGTGCATGAGCTTTGGGGTCCGAATGCCTGCGTAGGAAGCCTGCTTTCCTAGTGCAATAACCTTGGCCATAGCTGTTAACCCCATTAATACTCAATTTCCTTATCTCTAAAATGAAAATAATAATAGAGTTTATATGTGAAATAAATTAAACCAGCCACGGAAAGCTATAAATATAGTGGCTGGTAGAGAGGAAGCACTCAATAAATGTTGCTTATTATTATTATTTGATGTTGAGAGTGAAGAATATGGAAGAGGCTGGGCTCATGCCTGTGGTGTCTTGCTTTCACACTTGTGGATGTAAAATTGGGGAATTCAGGAAGAGGAGCAAGTTTTGAATAAGGATAAAGTTAGATTTTTCAAAAATTTTATTTACAAATTTACAGGAAGTTGCAAAGCAATGTACAGAGAGTTCCCAGGGGCCCTTCACCCAGCCTCCCCCAATGTTAACACCTTGCTCACTATATTACCAGACCCAAATCAGAAGAGTAACATTGGTACAATCCACAGGGCTTATTCAAAGCTCAACAGTTATTCCTGTATTCATCTGTGTGTGTGTGTGTGCATGTGTGTGTGCATGTGTGACTATGCGTGTGTGTAGCTGCATAAGATTTTTATCACATGTGTAGCTTCATGTAACTGCCACTACAATCAAGATAACTGTACTGTCACTGCAAGGATCCTTTGTGCTTCCCCTTCACAACACATCCCTCTCCCCACCATTTCCAACCACTGGAAGCCGCTAATCTCTTCGTTTCTATACTTATGTCATTTGGTAAATGTTACATCAATGAAAACATGCAGCATATATGTGTCTTTTTGAGGCTGGCTTTTCTCAACATGTGTCAATAGTTAACTCCTTTTTATTGCTGAACAGTAATCCATGATATGCGTGTGCTACAGATTTTTGACCATTTGTCCATTGAAAGATATTTGGATGGTTTCTAGTTTTTGGCTATTACAAATAAAGCTACTATAAACATTTGTGTACCAGTTTCCAATGAAAATAAGCTTTCATTTCTACAGAATAAAATGCTTTATTATACGATTGTCGGATTACATGGCAATACATTTTTAGTTTTAAGACATACTGCCAAATTATTTTCCAGAGCAACTGTACCATTTTACATTTCTAGCAGTAGTGTCCGAGGGATCCCATTTCTCTGAATTCTCTCCAGTATTTTTTCACTGTTTTTTATTATAGTCATTCTAATAGGTGTGTTCCAATATCTCATTGCGATTTTTTTTTTTTTTTTGAGACAGAGTCTCACTTTGTTGCCCAGGCTAGAGTGAATGTCCTGGCATCAGCCTAGCTCACAGCAACCTCAAACTCCTGGGCTCTAGTGATCCTACTGCCTCAGCCTCCCTAGTAGCTAGGACTACAGGCATGCGCCACCATGCTCGGCTAATTCTTTCTGTATATATTAGTTGGCCAATTAATTTCTTTGTATTTATAGTGGAGACGGGGTCTCACTCTTGCTCAGGTTGGTTTCGAACTCCTGACCTTGAGCAACCCGCCCACCTTGGCCTCCCAGAGAGTTAGGATTGCAGGGGTGAGCCACCGCTCCCGGCCCTCATTGCGATTTTAATGTGCATTTTCCTAATGGCTAATGACGTTGAACATCTTTTCATGTGCTTATTAGCCATACATGCATGTTCATTGGTGAAATGTCTCTTCATATCTTTTGTCCATTTTCTAATACTTTTTTTTAAATTCAATTTTTAAAATAATTGAGATATAATTCATATACCATAGAATTCATACTTTTGAAGTGTTGGTTTTAGCATATTAATGGAGCTTAATGAATTTCTGGTTATTTTCATCATCCCCAAAGAAGCTCTACATTCATTAGCAGTCACTCTCCATTTCTCCTTCCTTTCAGTGCCTGGAAACTAGTAATCTACTTTCTGTTTCTATGGATATACCTACTGTGGATATTTCATATAAGTGGAATCATATATATCACGTGGCCTTTTGTGACTGTCTTCTTTCATTTAGCATAATGTTTTCAAGGTTCATCCATGTGGTAGCATATATTGGTTCTTTCTTCTTTTCTTATTGCCAAATAATATTGCACTATATGGATATATCACATTTTGTTTATCCCTTCATCTGTTGATGGATATTTGTGTTGTTTCCAGATTTTGGGTGCATGAATAATGCTGCTAAGAAAATTTGTGTGCAGGTTTTTGTGTGGAGGTATATTTTTATTTCTTTGGCTATATACCTAGAAGCAAAATAGCTGAGTCATATGGTAATTCTACGTTTAGCATTTTGAGAAATTGCCAAACTGTTTCCAAAGTGGTTGCACCATTTTGCAATGCTGCCAACAATGTATGAAGTTCCCAATCTCTTCACACCCTTGACAACACTTGTTAATGTCTGTCTTTTTTACTTCAGCCAGCATGGTGCATTTCAACTGGCATCTCATTGTGGTTTTGATTTGGATTTTCCTAATGACTAATGATATTGTGCATCTTTTTCATGGATTTATTGGCCATTTCCGTATCGTATCTGGAGGAATGTTTATTTAAATCCTTTGCCTTTTAAAAACTGGGTTATTTGTCTTTCTGTTGTTTTCAGAGTTTTACAAAATATATTCTGGATACTAGTACCTTTATCAGATATATGGTTTGTGGATATTTCTTACATTCTGTTGGTTATCTTTTCATTTACTTGATAGCGATAGTGTCCTTTGGAGCATGAAAGTTTTTAATTTTGATGAAGTTCAATTTATCTAATTTTTTCTTTTGTTTGTGTTTTTGGTGTCATGTCTAACAAGCCAATCGCCTAACTCAAGGTCATGAAGATTTACTTCTATGTTTTCTATTAACATTCAAAATTTTTAAAAATTTCCAAGAGTTTTGTAGCTTTAGCTTTTACATATAGGTCTATACTGCATTTTGAGTTAATTTTTGCATATGGTGTGAGGTAGGGTCCAACTTTGTTGTTTTGCATGTTGTCCCAGCACCAATTGTAGGGAAGATGATTCTTTTCCCATTTAATGGTCTTTGAAGTCTTTCTGAGGATGAATTAACCATAAATATAAGAATTTAAAT